GCCGAGCGGGCGCTTCCGGTACCCAGCGCGGAGGCGGGGCCACGAATTTTGTCCCTTCGGCGGCGCCGTCCGGACGCGCGCCGCTCCTCTCACGTGATCGAGGAGCCTAGAGGCCTGTGCTGGACCCGGAAGCGGCGGAGCGGGGCGTCTGGGTCGGGCGGCTGGCTGGCTGGCTGGCGGGATGGAGGCGACTTTGGAGCAGCACTTGGAGGACACGTGAGTGGTGCAGCCTCTCCAGCCTGTCCTGAGGTCGCGGCAGGGAGATTAGATCGGGACAAAGGGCGCGCGCTGCGAGAGCCAGCCGGGCGCCTTGGGGACGCCGCGCGACCCCCCAGGCTGCGGGGTCAGGCGGTGAGCCGGGTCCCGGGGCCGCAGGAGCGGGGTGAGCCGAGATTAAAGTCCCGCCGTGGCCCCGCGCTCTCCCTCTGGACCCAGTCTCCGCGGCCCGAGCCCTGAACCGCCTGTCGTGTTGAAATTGTCGACATAAACACGTGCACACACACCGATACCCCTACACCTCTTTCCGTGCGTGACCGAGAAAATGAAAGACAGCCCTTCAGTTTTTCAACGAGGACTATCTCCATAGAATCCGTAACAAGAAAGCGCACAGGGAAACCCCCGTCGCACCCCTGCCCGTTTCCCAGCCCCTCCAGGAGGCAGCCGTGTTACTTGAGTTCAGCAGTTGTTTTAAGGAGTTAATGTACTAAAGCATGCAACAGAAGCCTAGATACTGCAATGTGTGGTTTAACTAATTTTTCTCGGGGTGGGGTAGTGATAATGAAAAAAGGTTGAGAAACAGTGATTTAAAGCGCTAGCAACAATGCCTGGTATGTAGAATGCCTACCTGTGTTTTAATCATTTAAGTTCTTTTTCTCACATCATCTGTTCCTGGAAATAGAATGAAGAATCCATCCATTGTTGGAGTCCTGTGCACAGACTCACAAGGGCTTAACCTGGGCTGTAAGTATCTCCCATCAACCCTTCGGTGGGTTGCTCGGCATTTGATGTTGACTGGGAGTCATCGTCCTGTTACCCTGCCACTTTCTGGCTACTTTGTGAGAGTAGAGGTTACCTCCAAATAAGATTAGACTACTGAAACTTCTCACTTGGTGTTTATGAAGGTAGAAACGTTTCTTGTACTACAGTTGTTTCTATTGAAATAGCATTTGACTCATTTTTAAAAGTGGGTTGAGGAAGGACTTCAGATGATGACAGCAGTTACATTGATTGAATGTATGCCATCTGCTTGGACTACTAGGCTCCCTATACTCATCTCTTAATTTTCACATTAATCCTGCAAGATGCTATTTTTTAGTCTACACTATATAAGTGAGGACGCAGTAAAAATAGGGCTTCAGATTCAGAGTTGGACACATCTGGGTTCAACCCCCTGCTCTCCCATTTGCTTGGACCAAAAAGAGCCTTTCTGAGCCTCAGCCTCTTTACTGGGTGGTTAATAATAATAATTGAATTGCATTTATTGAGCTTTTTCTGTGTGCCAGGCACCATTTCAAGTACTTTATATATGCTAAGTCATTTAATCCTCATAACATGAGGTAGATAAAGAAATTAAGTGGTTGCCCTGGCTGCTGTGGCACAGTTGGTTGGAGTGTCTTCCCATGCACTGAATGGTCAGAGGTTCAATTCCCGGTCAGGGCACATGTCCAGGTTGTGGGTTCGATCCCTGGTTGGGGAGCATGTATAGGAGGCAACTGATTGATGTTTCTAACATGTCTCGCTCCCTCTTCCTCCCTCTCTCTCTAAAATCAATAAAAACATAACTGTGGGTGAAGACTTAAAAAAAAAAGATTAAGTAGTTGAGCTGGGATTTAAGTCTAGCTCCAAAACCATTAGTATTGTGATACTAAAGATTATTTAATGTGTGTAAAACACCACACAACCCAGACATAATGCTCAATAAATGATAATTACAAATGAAGAAATAAATCCAGTAAGGTAAATAACTAAAGCAAGCCTAGGACTCCTTCTTTACTGCAGGACTTTTTAAAGCTCTGAGCTTTTGCTGGGAGGGTGACTGATAGGTAATCTGTGTAACTCAGGTTTTACATACAAATTGAATCGGGAGAAAAAATGCAAATGGGTTTGGGGGGTGCTTGCCAGGCTCACTAGTGGAAATTCAAGGAAGTAAAAAACTCAGTGAGTTCCTTCAAGAGACCTTCAAGGTCAGAAAGACTACCGTCTGTCCAGTTAACATTCTGTGTAACAACAGTAAATCCGACAACTCTGCCACGGTAGCATGTCTGTTACCTGACCTAGTTTCAGGCAGGTAGAATTGTGTTGCCTTTATATATGCAAATATATTGTAAATTTAGTAATCACTTTCTATAGCTGCCACCCAAGACTTACTTATTACCTACGTGCTAAAACAGTAACAAGCCAATTCTGTTGACGCTGGGAAACAGCCAGCCTATTCTAGTGGGACTATTTGCTCATGGAACATCCACATGTGTTATCAAGGTGGTCTTACAGCTGAACTCCTGGGTAAAGACTTGTATTCCCTTTGAGGTTCAGTTCAATAAACGGAAATGAGATTTCCTATGAGGAATTAGTTTCAACAGGTCTCTTGCCCTTACTGCTTTTTGTCTGTCTCACCTCTGAATTTGTCAGTTTCAGCAAGGTTCCTATAAAACGAATTTATGACTTTCAGGTCAACTTGAATTACAGCTTCCTTATATGCTTGAGAAGGTGTTTAGAGATGGCGATGGGAATGACTTTGAAAATTGAGTGTCTGTCATGGCTTTATTGATTTAGGAACCGGTGTCTGGCTTCCTCACTGAGGGAACCGGCTGAGTACAGCAGAGCAAAATCATTTCATGTCAGTAACTAGCCTCAGAGACCATGAACTGAACTCTTCTCGTGAATAATTCATGAGATGCTACTGCAGCTCTGCACTCATTTTTAAACAACCAGGCAACATGATATCATCTCTGTCTTCCAGGCCGTGGGACCCTGTCAGATGAGCACGCTGGGGTGATATCTGTTCTAGCCCAGCAGGCAGCTAAGCTAACCTCAGACCCCACTGATATTCCTGTGGTGTGTCTAGAATCAGATAATGGGTGAGTAGAAGTCAGCAGGTCCTTCCTTTCCTTTTTATTCAGAAAAATCCCTGGGAAACTTGACTGGGGCCTGCCCTGTGTTTCTCAGTGATGCTCCATTCAAAGGGCTTTAAGGAGGTTCTCACTCTTTGGACCACAGGCGCAGACAGATTGATCTCTGAAGCTAATGGGCTTTCAGACCAGGTGACATTTAAATGAAGAGGAAGAACTGACATGAACTGTCAGTGTATCAAGAGAAAGAAAGTAAAAGAGAGGAAGCTCAATCAAAGAACAGAAACTACTCTGTAGTAATAGAATACTAAAGATATTCCAAGCGAGTGACACAAGCAGCATACAAACTGTGTACAGTATCATCACAGTTTTGTAAAGAGAGAAAAAATGTGCAATATTACTGATGCAGATAAAACCAGGAAAATATTAATAGTGGTGCCTCTGAATGGTAGGGTTATAGGACTCATTTCCTTTTTATAGTTTACTTTTCTGTATTTCCCAAATGTTTTGTTGTGTTTATATATTGCTTTTATACATAGAAGAATGATAAATTTTTGTTGTTGTTGTGTCCTAAACCAAACTGCATCATTCATCTCTCGCGGCCTCCTACGTGGAACATTTTACCGAAGGTCTTCCGCTTCGCTTTCCAGGAACGTCATGATCCAGAAACACGACGGCATCACAGTGGCCGTGCACAAAATGGCCTCCTAACGTCGCCCCGCGGGTCCCGGCAGCCTGTCTGTGTTCATTATCTTACACTGTGAAAGCTTCAGTGGTTACGCTCTTTGTTGATTGTGCTTTGGGCACTTTTGTATTAATTTTAGGGTAAGTTGCTTTTGGACACTAGGGACTGACTTATCAAAATATTAGTAAGGACGGATCTTGTTTTGCAGCAGCAGGCCCAGGTGACTTTGTATATAGAATTGTTATGTTCAATAAATCTGGTTGGAGGAAAGCTTGGATCTTTTCTGGATTCTTTGAATTCTTATCAAATGCTCATTTTTTCAGTTATCAAATTATATATATTTTTTAAGGTCTTTTTCCAGATTACTCTCTGCTCTTTCAGAAGCTTCCTGAAACACATACATTCTCACAGAAGTGTCCATGGATATTTAAAACAAGCCATTTCCAGCCCCTAAAAGCTTTGTTAAGTCAGCTGGGTAGACACCAAAATGCTAATATCCCAACAGCAGCTTAAGGATTCTTTGCTCTTGATATTAGGCCCCACCTGCTTAATCAGAACCATTTTTAGTGAACTAAGTACCAACAGTGGGTCTAACAATGTGCAGTCATCTATCTATCTTATCTAACTAGTCAGTCCTCACAACAAACTTGCAAAATAATATTAACCACATTTTTTACAGGTACGGAAACACAATCGGGGTAACTGGCCGAGAGTCTGCAGGCCTAAAAGATGGCAAAGTTGCGATTCTAACCAAGTCTGCATTTCCCACTACACCCCAAAGCTTCCTCTATGAAAGCTGTGTCAAGGGGTTCATCTCTGAGGCCTCTGCAGCCCTCCCGGCCTCTATTGTTTTGCCACATTGCAAATCTGACCCAGCCCTCAGCATCCATGGGAGCTCTCCATCAATATAAAGTCCAGCCTCATCTCATCCTGTGATAAGAATCAGATAGCCCTGCTTTAAAAAAGCAACACACTCCCACCAAAAATTAAACCAGTCCTACAGATGTTTACAAAAAACTGCTTTCCAGAATGTGTTCATAATGACAAACACCACAAAAGTATTCACCTCTTTTTGGGGTTTGGCCTTCTGGAGTGCATTCGGTCCCTACCACGAGCACCACAGTCTTACAAGGCATCTCCCAAATCACTAAGCTGGGGTTCTGCTAGCACATTCATCAAAAAGTATTAGAGTTTGTTTTTAAGAAGCCTCTCACTTTTTAGCCCAGCCGGGCGTGGCTCAGCAGTTGAGCATCGACCTAGGATCCAGGAGATCGGGGTTCCATTCCCGGTCAGGACACACGCCTGGGTTGCAGGCTGCAGCCAATCAATGACTCTCTCATCACTGATGTTTCTACCTCTCTCCCTCTCCCTTCCTCTCTCTGAAATCAATAAAGTTATATGTTTTTTTAAAAAGCCTCTCACTTTTTAAAAGGAACATGCATAAATACGTGATTTTCCAGCTAAAACAAGAAAAATGCACTTTGGCCTAAAATATCTGTTTTGAAACATGGGATGTTGGTGCTGAAGAGATGAAAGGCAATTTCCTGAAAAAAAATTTTTTTTTTGAGGTGGAGGGTGGAACAGAGAGGGTAAATGGGACAAGAAAGCTGAATCATCCCAGTAATTTTCTAGGAGACTCAGCCTTAACCATTTCCAAAATGCAGTAAGAAAAAAGTTTCATTACAACTCAAGTATACACCTTCTCTGGAAGGTGTTGGGCGGTAAGGCAATCAAGTATGAAAAACAGCAATTAAAATGGGGCTGTTACATACTACCCAGATTCTTTAGTCGAAAACACAAAAGGTAACACAGCTGGGCTGAACTTCCTGAGGGTTTCCATTTGTAGCAAACAAGTCCTGAGGACCCTGGAGGAATAGCAGAAGCCCAGGTATCAGAGTCCTGGGGCCCCATTCTATGCCTTGAGAACAGTGTTAAAAGGTAAACTGAGGCATATGTAAAATTACAAAAATTTGAGCAAAAATCTATTTGAATCAGCACCAAACCCAAAGTAGGTAAGACCACTCCACCAACAGCAGCTTGGGGGGGGGGGTGGTTCTTCCAGTTTCCAAAGGCTTTATTAGTAAATATGCTTCAGAAAAGATGAATCCTATTGCTTCCAAGTCAATGGAATGAAGAGCTGTGTCCAGAGACACAGCCAAGTGAGGCCAAAGTGAACTGACTGATGCGTTGTCCACCTTTTATAGGTCCAGTCAAAAGCACAAGATTTGTAGTCAACCAGTTCTTCAGGCTTAAACCATAAGCCGATTTCTCTCAGCACTTTTGGCTGAATCTGCCATAAATGATGTTCCTGCCAACTTGAATGCAAAAGTCTCCGTGAATGGTGCCTGGCTTAGAATCTGCTGCATTGGTCTCCCCAAGCCAGACAGGTCTCTCCTGTCTTCACCACAGTCAGCCCCTCCCAGACCATGGCCACCACAGGCCCGGAGTCCATGCACTTCACCAGCCCAGGGCAGAATGGGCGGTCTTTCAGGTCAATGTAGTGCTGCTTCAGGAGGTCCTCAGAGGCCCGAAGCGCTTGAAGATGCTGTCCGCCTTGACGGCGATGAAGGTGCGCTCCACGTGGCCATGGTGGGAGACACGGGAGGGCGGTGGGCTGCTGCTGCGCTGGGGGGCGGCAGGGGAGGTGGGCAGGGGGGTAGGCTTTTATAGAAAAAAAGGCAGAATGGAAGCAAGGCAATAATTGATTGGCTTAAAGCCTGTTTGGCTGTGACTGGTTGTCCTTGGGTTTTAACTTCACCTTGAGGCGTTCACAGGCTTAGATGTGGGTTTGTTGATGTAGCCCCCGCAGCACCAGAGTCACCCTGTACTGACCTTGTTTAATTCAACACTAGTTTTACCAAGAAGATTTTCTACTTGGCTTACTCCGATGCTTGTTTTTGAGCCTACAGTGAGAAACTCTGGGCCAGGGTGGGTGGTAGGAGGGCCCAGGATGACTTCATCTCCACTCCTCAGGAGGTGAAGTCCAGCGGCCAGGGAGCCCACATCGGCTGTGAGGTCCTCGCTCTCACATGCCCCCTTGTTCTCACAGTAGAGTTATGAACTGCCTCAGAAAAAGAGTAACATTCTAGGAAATTGTGGAGTCCCCGAGTGTCTGATCGGTGGAGGATTCCTTTGCTGAACACCACGTCAGAGGTAAGACACTAGGATTGTGTGTTGGGGTTGGTTTTCTGCAGTGTTTTGGATGACCTACCAGCTTCCTTCCCAGCCCAGCTGCTCACCACCGAGCATTGCGCATGCCTAACCGGTGGACTCCCCTTTCTAGTAAGAAACAGCTTGGCTTCTGCAGTGCCTGCAGTCCCTCAAATCACCCCTTCTTCAGAACATGCCCATTCTCTTCTTTGCTGTTTCTCTCTACACGATTTGTGAGGTAGCCAACTCTGACAATTTGCTCCTGGTACTTTCTAGCACATTCTCCTGCAGAACCACAAGACCACCGTCACACCCAAGAGCTGTATGTCTGTTCACAGTCCATATTCAGCTCCTCCAACTGACCTCCCAAAGTCCTTCATAGCCTTTCCTAGCCCAGGGTCCACTCAAGGAACAGTCACTGCATTCTGCTGCCACGTCTAGTGAGTGAGTGCTTTGTAAATGGAATTCCTAAGGACGAGCCCCCACCATCCTTGACTTCTCTGAAGCCAAGGGCTCACCCAGAGGACTAGAGGGCGGCGCACAGCTTCCCCTAGGATCTGGCTTGCAGACCTGGACACTGAGGACAATGCTAAGAGCGGCCACCCACAGTGAGTGAGGCCAAGCTTTGCAGTTAACTCCTTTGAAATTCCTCCCTGAAATTAACTGAGCGGTCCTCTTGCTGCCATTCAAACTGGTGGTAGAGATTTCTCTGCAGTAGCTTCAGTCCCTCAAATCACAGCTTATCATTAGCTTTTCCTTCCTTCTCCCATGATTCTGCCTGGATCGTGATTATAGGATAAGCAGGGAGAGGGGACATTATAGTCAAGCAGCCTTTACACATGACGAGGCCATGCTTCAGGAGAACTGGCCAGCAGAAGCCAAGCAGCAGCCTGCAGAAAAGCACCCCCAAATGGTACAAAGTCCTGCTTGCAATTTGGAGGTTGAGATTAGAGTCTATAAACAACGTTAGAAACAAGAGGAAATCATCTATTTTTAAAGAGGTAGGCTAAAAAAAAACAAGTGGTTTTATACCACAGAGAAAAATAAAGTTTAAAAGTTTAGATGTTTCTTGTCAACTGAATCAATTACATCTTGGGCTTGTCACAGGGACCTGTGTCATGCTGAGGAGGGCAGGGAAGGCCCAACCTTACACCCACGCCCTGGATGGAGGTTGGGGATGGATGATTGTGCTTCACTTCTTCCTGGTAAGAATTCACTTTCCCTCTCCTACTTCCTCAAAAAGACAGCACTGGGGCCCAGCCCGCATAGCTCAGGGGTTGAGCACTGACCTAGGATCCAAGGGATCATGGTTCGATTCCGGGTCAGGGCACATACCCAGGTTGCGGGTTCGATCTCCAGTGGGGGGCGTGCAGGAGGCAGCCGGTCAATGACTCTCCCTCCCTCTCTCTGAAATAAAAAAAGACATAATAATAAAACAAAGAGACAGCACTGGGGAGAATGAGGTCCCTTATGTGACCCTTGGTATTTGAATGGGAAGGGGACAGAGCTAGGTCAGACACTACCAGTGGGCACTCAAGTCAGCAGACCCCAATTAACGAGAAGGTTGAAACATCCCACCTTGAGCGAAAGCAGCACTCCCATCTGGCCTCCTCCCCCCTCCCATCCCTACACCACAGAATGCTCCCGTCACCACCAGCTCTGCCCTGGCTGCACGGCAATTAGGTTTGGAGACAATCACACATTTAACCACTTCAGAAGAAGCACTGGCAAGTGCTAAGTGTTTTTGGGGTGGGGCCCCCAGCTCAGCACAGCAGACACATTTGCCGGCAGCTGCCCCCTGCACTCACAGGGGATGGGGACATTTCCTCTGTCCTTCCTGCTGCTAGCTTCCCAGCCCTCCACCAGCCACAGCATACGCTAGCACTGGGCCCCCGCGCACCCGGTGTGGATTCTGACACAGCGTACGCTAGCACTGGGCCCCGCGCACCCGGTGTGGATTCTGACACGCGAGCCCGGTTCTTCTCCCTCGTCCAGAAGCAACTGGACTGGGCACTCACTTCTTAGTGAACTTCTCTCCCCCATCCTCCCAGGCTCTTAGGATTGAGACATAGTGGCAACCTGAATCGTCAGCGTGGCCATTCTAGAACACTGGTGAATCCTATCACAACTGCTCCAAACCCTGCAGATGGGCACTGGCTCCACTGTTCCTCCTGTCCCGAAATCTGTTAACTTTGAGATGTACTCATGCGAACAAACAGCCTTTCCCTCCAGATCCGCCCCCTCAGCCCCTTCCCCACCCCAGCCCAGCAGTAGCTCACTCCTCCTCCCTGGGGACAGAGAGGGGGAAGTAGGGGCAAAGGTCCTCAGCCACGACTTGCGACTTGCATAACACAAACTCCCTAAATGGATGGCCATTTGTGAAACATTAGCCTCATTACCAGAAAATGTGAAATCTCAGTGTTACTAGTAACTAAGCTAAGGACACGCTAAGTCTGACAGCCCTTCCTGTGGCTGGGCCACCTCCCCAGAGCACATCCTTGCCTTTCCCTTCCCCCTCTTCTTCCCCCACAGGCCTGCATCTCCTAAACTCTAAGGGACCCCACAAGACTTGCAAGAAGGGAGCAATAGGCATTGGCAGTTCGTCCTGGGCTAACCCCCTGAACCTGTCTCCAAGGCCCCCTTTTCTCTGACTTCTTAGTGAGCCAAAGCAGCCCAGGCCCCTTTCCCCACCTAGTTTCTCTCCTGTTGCTTCTATCCTAGGCCCTTCCTTGTTTCACTATCTCCAGCTTTAATAAACATTCTCTAAAAATAAAACAAAAAATAGAAACAAAGTTGGAAGGCTAAGAGTTAAGGAACGGAGGCAGGGCAGATGCAAAGGCTGACCTTGGCTTTCTTGATATCCACAGGGGAAGACTCAGACTGTTATTAGAGACAAGTCATATCTGCTCACTGCTGCTTTGCCCAGATATCAAAGATGGACCAGAGAGGACAGGTTCTGAGCTGGGGGAACCAGTAGCTAGCCAAATTCAGGATGCAAAGGTCAGCATCCTTAAGATGTCAGCACAGAGCCCACATCCAGGGAAAGAGAAAGGCTGTTTGCCAGAATGATGCCTCACTGTATGTTTCTTGCTCATGACAGGGCACAACCACCACTCCGTATTTTGAACAGACTGAAAAAAGCCTGAGTCATTCAAGAGTCTTGCATGTTCTGCAGCCCCATTTCCTGATAGAAACACCTTTGGGACCATTCTGATGACAAACTGTCTGAATGAGGGCCTGACAAAGTATTTTTCACTTTTGAATGCAGAGCCCTGGTATCCATAGCACTATTCACTTGAAATAATGAAAAATCGGTAGCTTCTCTCAAGTCAAAATGGGAAAAATCTATTAAGGGATGTCCTCCTCACTACCCCTACCTTTCGCAACCTCGGGGCACCACCGCCGATTCTTAGCCCCTTACTGCAAACAAGAGATAATACTAGTCTGAAGTAAGAGTCTAGCTGGGGACAGAGGGGGAGATCTTGATTGTTTGGCAGGTAGGGGTTAAGAGAACAAGGAAGCAGGCTCTGACTTGGCTGAGTGAGTAGATGGTACCAATCAAGAGAGAAAGGAAAAGGGAAAGTGGACATGGGATAAAGGAAAGATTTTCGCTTTGGATGAGTTAAGAGATATGGTAGACAGTTATGCAAATGAGTTGGAAACTCTTGGGAAAGCCTAACGGTTACACAAAATAAAATCGTAGTTAATAGTTTGAATATTAAATGCTACTTAATGGTCCCTGAATTAAATTATGATGGTTTGACTTAATGACTTTTCAACTTTTCAATGGTGCAAAAGTGGTAATAAATTACATGAGATATTCAGTGCTTTATTATAAAATCGTCTGTTAGATGATTTTGCCCAACCGTAGGCTATTGTAAGTGTTCTGAGCACCTTTAAGGTAGGCTACGCTATGATATTAAGTAGGGTAGGCGTATTAAATGCATTTTCAGCTAAGGGTATTTTCAATTTATGATGGGTTTATCGGGATGTAACCCAGCATAAGTTGAGGAATATCTGTATTAAGTACTTTACCAGAACTTTCTCGATCTTCAGTCCTGTCTGCTGACACTGACTTCATCTCCACTTTACAAAAGAGGAAGTTTAACTTCTGTGAAGTAACTTGCCCAAAGTCACACCCCTACTAGGAAGCAGCGCCAGGATTCAGGCCATGGAGGCTGGCTGTGCAGACTGGTACTGTAACTGCTATACCATAAATATGTGGGTGGCAACCAAAACCGTGAGCGTGAACATCTGTGGGTAGATATAAAATAAGGCAAGATGAATACAGAGACATGGGAAGATTTTTACTAGGCCGACAAAGTGAAATCCGTGATAGGGAACTCGGCGGCTGTGATTCTTAAGCAACCCATGGAAAGGCTGAAAGCAGGGAAAGTGGCCTTGACCAAAGCCAAGGCCACTGAAGAAAAGAAAGGGGAAGCTAGGAAGCCCCTGGACACTGAGTGCAGAATCTGCCTAGGTAGCCTTCCTTCCAGTTCCTCCCTCCTGACTCCTGCTCTTCACTACCCCAGGCTAGTGAGAATTCCAGGAAACAAATGCTTACAGTCCACAGAAAGAAAACCTGACCTCAAAGGAGCGCCCCCTAGTGGAGGGGAGGAGGTGGTGCAGGTGAGGAGGGTTAGGAGGGGAAAAAGGCTGGGCACACAACCCAACCCGGTGGCCTGGCTTACCCCTGTCCTGGCACCATTAACAGTGCTCCCTTTGCTCTCAAAAGTGATTCAATTTGGATAAATTATATGGTCACCCTATTTATATACCAAGTGAGGAAGGGTATTCAGCTCAAGAGCAGAGTTCAAGCAAAGCTAATTTAGGCCAACACGCTTCTCTCACAAAGCTAACTGAACTTGGCTGTTTAACAGATGCTGCTGTCACAGAACAGTACTTGGTCCAGAGTCAGTCTATCTGGGTTCAAATCTCAGCTCCAGCACCACCATCCTGAGCAACTCTTAATCTCTCTAAACCTCAATTTCCCGATCTCTAGTACAATTGTGACACACCAATTCCACAGCCTTGTGATGATCCAAGGGGACACTTCCATGTAAAGTGTTTAGAGAAGCTTAGGGGATGCCCACCCCTTAAAACACGAAATGTATGAGGAACTGCCAAACTGGTAAATGCTGGTGAGCTGGGGAATTGGAACCTCGAGCAGCTGAAACCTCCTCCGTAATGGCCACTCACCACCTGACTTAGACTCTGGTCTGCTTTGATTTAGGTCAACGTGGTTGTGTCGGGGACGACCAGGGCTTTTGCAATCTTCTTTGTGGTTTTTCAAAAAGAATTTGAAGGTACTGCAGAGCAAACTACTTGGATTGGTTCCATCATGTCATCGGTTGGCTTTTCTGCAGGTACGGAAGCCAGCAATAGGTTTGCTGTCCAGGGAGAAGGACCACAGAGGGCAATTCCAAAAACATGCATGAAGTCCTGCTAAACTCAGGCTTTTATTAATATATACAGCTGAGAAAATGAAAGACCTGCAGTGTTTAGCCTCCACCTGACTTGGTACATTGGAAATATTAGAGTTCAAACAAAGAAAGTTAAGGAATCCAACTATTTAGTTCCAAGATTGACTTTTTCATGCCATGTTTCTTTCCAGTGCCTTAACCTAGGTTCGGTGAAGCCAGCCTGTCAACTGGGAAGTCAGACCACGGAGTTCTGGTCTGGTATCTAAGCATACTGAAAACAAGTGGGGAACCAATTCCTCCACCTTTAGTTCTACTGCAGCTATAGTGTGGTGCAGAGTAACAAGCAAACCTGTTCTAGTCAGAGGCTACCAGACGCAATCTCGTTTGTGGAGGATTTGCAATGCATTTTCAATAAGCTTCCCCTCCAAACCTGCTTATTTACAATCCTTTCCTTAAAAAACAAAAACAAAAAACCCTCTTTTTCCAAAATGGTAAGAAACCCAATCCAAACACTTTTCTGAAGGACACACAATATTCCAAGCGAAGTCCTCCTGTTTTCCTTCAGCTGCTCATTTAGACTGCATGTCAGGATACAGGATGCCGGAGCACACTCACAGAGTACTAGCTTTTTTTTCTTTCCCCAAGGTCCCCTGGTTGCCATCGTGTGTGAAATATACGGAGAGAAAACTGCCTCCATTCTTGGGGCTGTTCTTGTTTCTGGTGGATATCTGATCAGCTGCCAGGCTACAAGCATTCCCTTTCTTTGTGTGACTATGGGACTTTTACCTGGTAAGTCAACTGTAAAAAGGCTATAAAAAGGGAACTCGGAACCTTCCCTTTTCCTGTCCATGGGCCCAAAAGGCCTAGTTTCATGGTCTTGAGTCCAGGAGAGTATCTGGTCTGGTATAAGGGACTTCATGTAAGTGATTCCAAGCTCTATTATGTTTTTCTTTTTAGGTCTGGGCTCCTCTTTCTTGTACCAAGGAGCAATAACAGCAATTAGCAAATATTTCAAAAATCGATTAGCGCTTTCTACGGCTATTGCCCGGTCAGGGATGGGACTGACATTTCTCTTGACACTTTTTACAAAAGTCCTGATAGATCTATATGACTGGAAAGGTGAGTCATTCTAAGTTTCTGACCTATCACCTCTATAAGATTTGAAGTTCAGCTTTCTCCCTTTGATGACTGGAAGTGATGTTTGGAGCCAGAGTGGAAATGACTGGTAAAGAAAACATGCTCCTCCTCCCTGGAGAATACACAGCAGAAGAGATCTTGAGCTACTGCAGGCTATGCCAGCCACACCAGCAGCTCCCACCCAGTTCAGCACCAGGGTCCTGTCTGAGGGCAGAGGGGACTCTGTGGGCTGAAACTCACTGCAGAGACAGTGATACTCCTTGGGAGACAAGGACACCCCGCTCTTCCCCTTCCACCACCAGAGCACTCTTTTCAAATTTTCCCTTTAAGAAAAAAAAAGTCTGCATTAAAATAATGCCTTCTTCATCAGACTCACTAAAACAGAACCAAAAACAGGAAAGAAAAAAAAAGGGTAATAAAGGATTACATTCCTTAATACTTAATCTTTTATATACTATCAGCTCCAAATTTTCACAAATGAATGAAAATCATTCACTCCACAATCTTCTTTGTGCCTTAGATAAAATACCTGGATTAAATAATCTTGCATTACTGGAAAAATACGATATGCACACATGTATGTATATGTCTGTTTCTAGAGAAATAGACAAATTCATAGAGCAGTTTTGCAGCAGTCTCATGGTGAACAGGACCTGCTGACAAATCCATGAGAGATGGCAGAACCTGCAGCCAGTCTGTCTCTAGAAGCACCACACACACATCACAGCTTTGGGCAGGCCTCACGGAAATCCAGAACTACTCAGCTTCGAAGGCAAAACTGGCACCTGTCTTCTTTCAAGGAAATTAAAATGCTCTGAGATAAAGGCTGTCCCTTATCCCACAGCCGTCTCCAAGTGGCTCCCATTGTCAAATTCTTTATTTACTATACCTAAATTTATACCCACTTCAGAATATTTACAATCTCTCTTTCTTTAAGTCACAGTGCAATTTTCTAACTTTTCAAATATCTCCCCCGCCCCCTCTTCCAAGACAACCCTTATTCTTTTTCCCTTTAGCACAAACAACACTCCCTCCTCCTTCATACAATCTATTGGTGCAGCTTTCTGGTGCTCTATCTACAAAGGGCACTGTTTGCACAGGATACAGCAGTGTGTGCAGCTAACAAGTTATCAGATTTAAATACTTTCCGTTAAAATCAAGAGACAAAATAATATCTCAAGGAATGATCACACTATGAATATTTAGCACCAGAGCTCCTCTGAGCCTAAGAACAGAGAGTACTGTGAAATGAGAAAGGTAATTTTTAACAACTTCTCAATTTCTATTTAGGTGCCCTTATATTATTGGGAGCCATCACACTGAATTTGGTGCCTTCGAGTATGCTCTTGAGACCCATCTACATCACAAGCAAGAACAATTCTGATAGGAAAGATAAAGGTAGCAGAATGTCTCCAAGTGATCCAGAGGCAGAGTGCGGGCCAGACACGTCACACTGCAATGAGACACAGGAGTCTCCCTTCAGGGACAGTACTATGCAGAAGGCTGGACAAGCTGGTACAAGTTTAATAGACTCCCAATACCAAAATGAAGAGGTCAACAACAGGCTAAGCAGGAAGAGACTGTTCCTAATAACTAATGAAGAAAGTTTCAAGCAAAAGGCTACTTTGTGGAGCTGTAAACAAAATCTTTGTGATGTTTCTCTTTTAAAGGATCCTTTCTTCTGCATATTTACCTGGTCTTTTCTCTTCAGTCACTTGGCATATGTGATCCCTACCTTCCACCTGGTAGCCAGAGCCAAAACACTGGGGATTGACATGATGGACGCCTCCTACCTCATTTCTGTAGCTGGTAAGAAAGCCAACTGCAACCTCACATTCAAACAAAAACAGAAAGGTTTTGTTAGTTTTTCATAGGTGTCTGGTCAGACACTAAATATCTGTTGGAAAATAATGCATTCTTAAAAGTTGGTGCTTAGTGGCAACCGCCACTTGAGGAAGCAAAAAAAATTCCAGGTAGACAGTACAGTGCAGTGGTTGAAAGGTTTGGTTCTGGAGCTAGACTTCCCAGGTTCAAGTTTTTGCTCTGTATTTCCAAGCTATGTGACCTTGGGCAAGTAAAGTTACAAGTCTTCTCTGTGCCTCAATTTCATCTGTGATATAGGGATAATAGTATCTACTCTAATAAGGTTATTAGGACTAAACAAGTAATGTATAAGAGGTTTAGGATAGTGCCTGGCTGATTTTAAGCATGAAATAATCTTCCACTAATATTTGAACTCATAGTAAGATATAAATATGCCTGTGGAGGCTAGTCACAAATGGGTTGGCTAATATTTAAATAAATCAGAATGTAAGTTAAAAAATAAAAACAAGCACTTTAATTGAATATAAAAATGTATGGAAACAGGATGCTTTATCCAGAACAGACAGATTCTCTCACCTAACAAAAGAGGAAGTTTAAGGAAATGAGAAGGGATGAAATGGAACTGGTTTGCTCTAGTTATCTGGAAATTCTCAAGAGCTCACATTGACTTTCCTCTCGATAATTTCTTGCAAGACTATTTACCACGCCCTTACAAAACTGACTACACTCCATTTCCAATTGCAAAGGTCCCCTGCTTTAGTCAAACAAAGCATACACACACACACACACACAAGATACATAGCTAAAGGGACTTTTTCACTAAAATGTCTGGTAGCATCAATTTAGATCAGATTAGGGTTATACAATGAAACAAAAGAATGTAACATAAAGACTCAGTACACATCCTAGGAAATAACTGTAAAAATACAGAAATGGCAGTATTCTGTATTTTTATTTCCTTTGTGTGTGTGTGTGTATGGAGCAATTTATGTTTGAACCATAGGAACAATTTAAAATATAAAACAACCACAGCTCATGCTACTCTTGGTGAAAATCTCTTGGTATTTAACTATTACATTAGCTTATAACAGGATGAAGATAAGAATGTTGATCTTGAAATTGTGGTTCTTACATTTTGTTCAAGTTACATCATAGCTCCAATGTTCAAAAGATGATCTCCCATTTCCATATTTCCTACGTATTTTCAAATTAAGCATAATAACCTTTGAAGGAAGACTTAATTATTAAAACCTCATATGCAATTATAAAAAAAGAGTCCCAACATCTCTTCTTTTTCTTTAACATAAGACTTTATTATTTATACTCCAGTCATCCACCCCGTGGCTTCCCCAGGACACCGGCCGCTGGAGGGCTTACTATTCTCTAAGAACTTGCACCTCCTCACCCGCAGGTCCTCTTTGCAGTCTTCCCGAGCCTGGGGTCCTCTGTAACCAGGGATTCCCAGCTTGATGATACGAACTTTCTGGTAATTGATTAGATGTGTTTGGAATACTTAAGTAAATGATGTAATCTACTGACACACAGATGAAACCATTTTTTCTCATATGTCCTAGCCTCAGGATGAAATCATATTACTTGTGAACAGATGCCTTAGGCATTTACATTTGTCAAAGGGGCTGGGAAAATAGAATTAGGATTTCATAAGACCTTTTCAAAATTGTTCCAGGTATCACTGAGGGAGTCAGTCAGATTCTCTGTGGATGGGTTGCTGATCGAAACTGGACCAAAAAGTATCATTACCACAAGTCTTACCTCATGCTCTGCGGCATCATTAACCTGCTTGCTCCATTAGCCACCACATTCTCACTACTTATGGCCTATACCGTCTTCTTTGCCATTTTCTCTGGTGGTTACCTGGCACTGATGGTTCCTGTACTGGTGAGTAGACACGCTCATTAACATTGTTAAACATCTAGCAAAAGCAAGGATTAATAATAATCTCGCCCACAGAGAATACATATTTTATATTAATTTTATAATTAAAAATCATCATATCCAAGACCTCAGAAACCCTGCAGCTATACCCTGGTCCAGTTATTCATCTTACCTTGGGGGTTGGAATGATGAGAGGCCTGTCCACAGGGAACAGGAAAGAAATGAAAACAAATGAGGAACCAGGATTCCATTTCGCTGATCAGTTTCCCAGGTTAGGCTTCTGTTTACTCCTTCCCTTCAGCTCCAGAAGCTTCCTTGGCTCCTTCTAAGACACAATATTGAGGAGTTCCTGAGAGAAAAGGAGCCTTCCTGACCAGTGTGGCTTCCCTCTCGTTGAGAAAAGTTCTGTGTATTTCATTCAATAGGGATCAAGTTTTAAAAAAACTCTTCTCCATTTTTACCCCAATTCAGTTAAAGTCCTGGACCCAAGTGGAGCTGAAATATAAACTTCTGGGTCCTCCTCAGCACTAGATCCCAATGGGCTGGAACACAGCCCCTGGGAAAGTTCTGGCCTCACAGAGATATTAGCCTCAGTGCTGCCGGAGATCACATGAAACTCAGGCAAATGCCACACTTTCTAAAGTTGAAATCAACTCCTCGCAATGTCTGATTTCTTACAAACCAATGGTCAGTACTCAGCCTCAGGAGGATTCAACAATACCACTGTCAGCTAGACTGTAAATACTATTTTCCAAAAGAGAAGGCCAAAAAAAGTACCCCTGAACCACCGAAAAGACTAAAAAAAGAAACAAAAAACCAATGGTCCTAATAGAGGGGAAATACTACGTGCCTAGTGAAATTACTGGTCCCTAGTTGCCTCAGCTCTTTCACAAGTCAGGGCAAAAGGCCACTGAAATCACCCCAGAAGTTAACGGTTCAGTTTGAGATGTCCCTTGGTAGGCGTAGGTCTTCACAGAATCTCACCCCAATGTGGCTAACACTGACTTCTAATCCCTGCAGGTTGATCTGTCGACAAGTTGTATAATACACAGGTTTATGGGACTTGCCAGTTTCTTTGCTGGGATAGCTGTCCTTTCTGGATCACCGATAGCAGGTAACAGCTTAGCCACATTCTGAACAAGTGAAAGAAAATGCTGACCCATGATTAACAGGAACATGTAATGACACTATCAGGTTAGAAGAAACTGATGGTATCTACGCTGTTCCTCTACCGACCCTCACACTCCATCCCGTCCAGGCAAATCTGAGGGCTAATTTAACAGATGTGCATTAAGCAGGTTCTTAATCTTCTTGGCCATCTTAGAGCAGGGATTGTATGTATCTCTACTTGTCTGGGAAGACAATCCAGTTTTATCAGAATTTCAAAGACCAATGATGTTTAAAAGAAAAAGAATCATTTTTATCTAAACAGGAGTCAGTTTTGTAGAACTTGAAACTACAAGCCTGACCCCTTTGATCTTCAGGGCTTCTCAACATCTCTGATTATCAAAGAGGGAGGGAGGCCCTTCTCTTTCTGTCTGTACCAAAGGTGGGAGGATGCTGGCTCTAAAGGCCAGAATCTCTGTGGAGAGGGTATGTGGGGCCACTGGTGAACACTAAGTTCTGATCATGTAAGTTGGCTTTAAGACTGAAGTGCGTTGTTTTTCACTCTTTTTACCTAACTGGACATCTAATCCAAGACTATTAAAAGACTAAGTACTCACACAGATATACTTCTAGGGGACAGACTTAAACTTTAGTACTTTCTGTACTATAGTTCTAAAATATTTGAATGTAGAAATTACTACAGAATTTCCAGTCACCCACAAAAAGGAACTGAACCTAAACCTTACTTTTGCCTCCTTTAGTCCTGAAGTGACACAGAAAAAGGATCTGATCTTGCCCACTATCACTTTTTGAAAACTAAGTTATGTAGTATTAGGTTTGTACCTCTATAAACTTGAGACTTAGAAAAGGCAAATATCAAAAGAAAATGTAAAACAGTCTAATAACAAAGATTATTACTGGAAGGAAAAAAATGCACCACTGAAATTTAGCTTAGGTGTACTTGTTTTAAAGGAAAAATTGGTACAAATATACAACCAAATCCTTATTTGCATGTATGAACACACATCTTCCCATGTTGTCTGACAGCCTACACTTCATACCTGGAGAGGAGGCTGGAATTTAAGAGTCAAGCCAGAACTGTTCTGTAAGGACTGGTAAAAGGAGACCAAACACCAGAGACGCCTGGCAGCACTACCTTATGACCAGTGCCCAGGTCAGTGAAATTCAGCAAACAGCCCAACTACAGTTTGCTGATGCATTTTTTTCAGTCTTTATCTGTCTTCATTGGCTGTCCAATGATGCTCTGGAACTGTGCCGCCTATTAGGCCAGAAGTATAGGGAGGTAACAAATTCCAATGCACAGAGGATCTTACTCAAACGAGAAAGGCAAGGAACAGAATTACATGTTTAGCGGTTGTATGTTCTGTTTTGGGAATATATCTTAAAATAAAATATTCAAAGAAGTCAATAGATGAGAAAACAAGGCAAGTTTTGTGAGGACCATTACCTGAAAAGGAAAAGCTGTCGATGTGTGTGGGTCTTGATCTTTTTATTTATCTTCTAATGAAAAGGACAGACTATAACAGAGCAGATTAGAACACAGTGCATCGCTTCATCATGAAACTTTTATTTTATACACACATACCTATGTATTTTAAGTATATGTGATGTAAAGTAAATTTCTTACTGTCAGTGAGTGGAAAAAAAAATTTACAAGCCTTTTATTACCCAAAGTCCACGATACCCTAGCTCTGTATGTGAGGAGAAAGGAAGCTCATGATACAATTTCTACCTGCAAATTCTGACTATATTACTTAGGCAACTATAAATTTTATAAGTTCTAAAACAAAAGTCAAAGGAAATGTTAAGGCTGCTGCTAAAAGCTTATGTATAGATTTCTGAGTCTGAGTGCAGTGTCTTAAACAAGATGACAATTCTGTAGAAGTCAGTGACATGTGCCCTCTGCAGCAGGGCCTCTCACTGACTGCACCGCTGCACTGCACACTTGGGGGAAGAGAACTTGAGGAAAGTCTCTGCCTCTGGAACGCACTCTTCTGTGAAATGACAGGGGATGTGACAAAGGCCGTTAGATTTGTTCCTAGATTCTGACTCCAGCAGCAACTACCAAAGAAACACCAGAAATGCTGATTTATGGATTCACTCAGTTCTCAACAGGACTGGGCAGTTCCATTACTGTCTTTAGCTTCAAATAAATCAACAGGCATACTGGTTACAAAATATTAAATTCTCAACCAAACTTAGATCTTCAAAACTGTATGAGATTCTCATTTTTTTACTTACCTGTTAGATCTGTTATTACCAAATTGCAAAAGTTGAAATTCATGCCTGGCTGGCATGGCTCAGCGGTTGAGCATCAACCTATGATTCAGGAGATCAAGGATCGATTCCCGGTCAGGACACATGCCTGGGTTGCTGGATTGATCACCCTATAGAGGGCGTGCAGGAGGCAGCTGATCAATGACTCTCATCATTGATGTTTTTATCTCTCTCGCTCTCTCCCTCTCCCTTCCTCTCTCTGAAATCAATAAAGATGTATGTGGTTGTTTTTTTTAAAGTTGAAATTCCTATAAAAGATTACAGGCATTTTAAATTAGGAATCTAGCAAATAGTAAAACTTTCCACAGTAATCCTCAAACACTAGTTAATAATGGTAACACTGGTTACCTGAACAATATTTTTCTCCTTCCTGTGTGGAAATGAAAAAGAAAAACAAATTAGTCCTATATAGCACATTTTAATAAAACAAAGAAAGGGCGGAAAAGCATAGAAAACCCATAGGAATCATAATTGAATTTCTTAAATTACATTTTCTTCTTTAAAAAATGTAGAGTATATGGGCAAGAAAATTATTTATATACCTTTTAAAACCATGATTATAATATAGTAGCAACAAAATTCTTTATCAAATCTTTGCTGAAACTCACTGGCAGGGGCTGCAATGGACAGAAGTTTAAAATTACTCCCCACCAACACACACCTCCTGCACAAGCCACCACCCTAACCTCTGCGTCCCACAGCCTGCCCTTACTATTCTTTCCAATACTTAGTGACGAATTCATAGTTAATAATATGGCCTGCTTCAGACTAGGTCAGTTTTAGGGCTGTTCTGACCTAGGGTAATCAGTAGACCTAAGTGTAAGCCAAATGTCATCACTTATCCAAACCCAACGCTGTTTTTTGCTGGAAGCTGCCATCCAGATCTACATGCTGGCAGCAAGATGGAAGCCTTGGAAGCTTGTGGGAAAATAAAAAGTAGTGCTATTTTAAAACATTATTATATTTCTAGTAGATCCCCATTAACAAAAGTAAACCTGCAGAAAGCAATATAAATACAAAAACAGTTCCTTGGGCATAAAATCAAATATATAATCATATTCTCCAACATATAAGTCAAATTATTCCATTAAATTTTGCAGGGAAATACATGGAAACAGTTCTAAAATATGCTAAGTGATCCTCTACCCTGGCAAGAAAATATATTAAATATATTTTAATCTTTAATGTTTCTAAAGCAACATTCTGACTTTAAATGTGTGTATGTGGGTGAAATGAAAGGCTTATAAGCAGTTTTCTCTTAAATGGTTTTAGGCCCTCTGGGATTTCTTAAAAACAATAAACCATTTTCACTATTTTTAGCTGTGCTCTCCTGACCTTTTTAAAAAAAAATATCTTTATTGATTTCAGAGAGAGGAAGGGAGAGGGAGAGAGAGAAACATCAATGAAGAGAGAGTCATTGATCGGCTGCCTCCTGCACGCCCCCTGCTGAGGATCAAGCCCACTACCCAGGCACAAGCCCTGACCAGGAATTGAACCATGATTTCCTGGATCCTAGGTTGATGCTCAGCTGCTGAGCGACGCCGGCCAGGCTCTCCTGACCTTTTAGCAGCACTATTTACCTCCATAATCCAAGAATTTCTAGTCTTTTCCTATAGTATTATTTCTAATACTGCTATCTCATAATTTGCAGCTTATGTATATACTGGTAAATTTGCAGCGCTGGTGGGACTAAGGCAAGAATGACAAGGGATAGCCGGCTGTCGTTGCTCAGCAGTTGACCACTGACCTATGATCCAGGAGATCGTGGTTCGATTATTAGTCAGGGCATATGCCTGGGTTGCAAGCTCGATCCCCAGCAGGGGGCATGCAGGAGGCAGCTGATCAATGACTCTCATCACTGATGTTTCCATCTCTCTCTCTCTCTGAAATCAATAAAGATATATTTTAAAAAATGACAAGGGATAAAAGAGAGTGCTGCTGCTTTCCACACTCCCTCCTTTCTAGAAATTTCTAGAAGCGTTGAGAGACTGGTCACCTATTTCTCAGGTACATAAAGTTCAATCACAACATAAAACAAGGACTTGTCCTAGTCAGTTTCACTCCACTCTTGCTTAACTCCAAGGAACATTTGAGGTCACTCATCAAGCAAGGAGTCAAAAAGTAAACAGCAACTTAAAGTTAGCTGAATTTAAGAGGCTGTAAGACATTCCATTCATTCATTATATTAACAGGAAGCATAAAGCTAATGAAACAACAACTAAAAACATTTCAAAGTCTGTATCAAAGCCAAATAAGAGAACAAAGAAGACAGAATATATCTTTACACTTCCAGTGAGAAATCATGTTCCAAGATATAAACAAAAATCAAAGACACAATGTAAGCTCCATGACGGCAGACATTTCCGTCTATTTTGTTCATGCGTATATCCTCAGTACGAACTGTGTCAACATTTTTTGAATAAATGATCAGAATAACAGCTTTAGCTTTCTAAGTTTTGGGGGTATTTTAAATATAAAAGCCATAATGTAAACTTGCATCTGCAAACGTAATATGCATACAATCTCTAGAAAGGGAATGTCAAGTGTGGTCAGTGGACTCCCCAAAAAGTCCTGAGAACTTTTTAGGGAGTTTGTGAAGTCAAAACTATTTTCATAGCAACACTGAGACATTATTTTAGCCTTTTTCACAGGGTTGACTTTTGCAACAGTGTTTAAATACTGGTACCTTGCACAAATATTCTTTGCCACCACAGTTTTAAAAAAAGCATTTCACTTAAGTTCTAGTATGTGCCACTAGCCAAATGATTGTGATGACTCCTCCCCATTCTTGCTTTGAAAGAGCATTTCAGGGGGAATTACAGTCATCATTTAACTCACGTGACCAAATAGTCAGTTCCTTTTCATATGCTCTCCTGGAGCCTTGAACCTTCCCTTCGTAGCCCGTATCACTGTGCAACTGATGCGGTTAACACCTGACCCCACTAAACCATACAGGCCTGTGAGGGCAGGGACCATGTCTGTTTGGGTTCATCATTGTACCCTCAACCCCTGGCACGCTGCTGGGGACACAGTATATACTCAAACGTTTGTAAGAATGGTGGCCTTCTAATAAGGTTCATCATAAAATGAAATGGCAGGTGTCCCTAATTTTCTCTAACTTCCATTCTAAGACTGGAGATGTGTTCTGGGTCCACAAAGACTTTTTCATCACAGGTTGAGTCCCTAACTCAGGTAGAACTAATGTTAAGTAACTCTGTAAGTAGAAAATAAGACAGGTACGGAGCTGGACTTTCTAATGGGTCACCACACAGACTGGCAAGTTCATGAGACTCCTTCCTTTCAGGACAGTTCACAGTGGAGAAAGACTAGGGAAGGCGCTTGGCTAACAGATGCCATTCCTTCCTTGCAGGCTGGTTATACGATTACACCCAGACGTACGATGGCTCCTTCTACTTCTCTGGCATATGCTATCTCCTTTCTTCAGTTTCCCTTTTCTTTGTACCACTGGCTGAGCGATGGAAAAGCAGAGTGACCAGAAGGAGAGACGACTGCAATCAAGTGTGAGCTTAACAAAAGAAAAGCTAAACTAGTAAGTCATTGGAAACAAAAGAAAACCTACAGGAATAAGTCACTTGAAACAAAAGCTCAGAACAGTTTCCTCACTTGTAAAATAAGAAGGCAAACCAAATAGTTTTTAAGGTTCCCCTTTCCTTTGGCATTCTGAAGAATGTCTAACTGGTGGTAAGGAAGGGGGAATAGAAACTGAAATTATGCCATTTGTTAGTATTTAGGTTATAATTTTAATTAGTTAAAGCAGCTACCTTAGGTATTAAATGAAAATCAGAATGTACTGTAATAAACTCTCAATTGTGCATGGTAATTCAGTCAATAAAATATGTGATGACAGAAAAGCATTTTCCTTACTTTAAGGAAGTATTTTATATATATATATATATATATCTCACCACTGGTTGACCAGAACTCTGGAATCTGAAAGAATATTAAAATCTTGTTTAGTGGCTACGATGTTATATACCCCCAAAAAGTTCATCTTTGCTTACTGATTAGAAGTTTTCTTTGCATTACTTTGTTTCTTAAATTTTCTATAGTAAATGTGTATTGCTATGTAATAAAAAATAAATAAAAATTGCTCAAAAAATACCATTTATTTCAAGATCATTTGAATAGTATTCCTGCCCAACATTACTTTTCAAACATTATTCTTCACTACATCTAATCAGCTAAAAATATTCAAGCTAAATATCTATGAAAGTTGAATAGGTGGCTTTTAATGGGAGATATCCTTAAACTAAAAGATGTTTCTTACATATGGAAATATTATGTTAACCAAGTAATAATGTAACTTAGACTACGAAATTACATGTCAATAGAGAGCCCTTCATTACTCGATTTAAGAAGGGAAAAGCACCAGCGTTCTCTGTCACACCGACCTCATTCGGCACCCCCCTCCGAATGCTCCTTTAAACTGCTAGTGCTGTCATCATCACATCCTCCCATTCGCTTCTGCTTTAAAATAGCTGTTAATTCCCTAGAGAAAAGTCTTAAACTGAAAGCCTGGTGTTCGCTCCAAAATGCTCCGCGCTCCCACTCCCTGTGGATGCCTTTGCGCAGGGTCAGCTACTCTCTTGCCTCCCGCCCCCTCCCCCACCCCAGGCAGTCTCACTTATCCAGCCCAATCTGACTCACTCAAAGGCCACCTCCTCTGGAAAACTCTCCCTGGCATTAAGGCGGTCTCTTGGGGGAACCCATCTAACTTTTAACAGAGTGCTATGTGAGCTTACATGTCAACCATCTCCATCAGTCTGCGAGATCAACCAGATGGGTGATGTTTTACTCATCTTGGCACTCCCCAAGGGCCAGCATAAACTCTGGACCACATTAATCTGGGTTCGAATGAGTTATCTTAAAAATAGTAGTTGGTCCAAAAAAAAAAAAAAGTAGTTAGTCCTATTTGAATTATATAGGGTTTACATTTAAATGTAAATGTCTAACATTCTTTTTACATTTTAGATGAACAATAATATGAAAACAAAAACAAAAACCCAAAAATACCACTCCTCTTGTTATAGCATAGTAAGATAACAGGAAAATCCCAGGACAAGCAGAATAGGGAAACTGAGACATAAACAGCAGTTTGCAGACACCTAGTAAATCCTACCTTTCCTAAACCAAGGAAGCTTGAGAGTAAATGGTTTGCATTTCTCCACCCCAGCCAGGGGATAAATAGCTTAAATCACACTGCTCAGGGAGTCAGATAACAGAAATCCAATTAGTGCCATTTGCCAACCACATCCAAGGTCAGACAAATTTAAGAATAAACCTCCTTTTGGTATATCAGCATAAAGTTGATGAATATTCTATTAATCTGCTCCTTAGACCTCCCCTAAATGCCCAGACTTTTAAAACCCCTGAAAATGAAGGACCCAGTGTGCACAACCCCTGCCCCTCCCCCAGCACCATCTCCCTTCTTCCCTCCCTAGGGGACACCTGGAGACTTGCAACCAGGGGAGCAATGTGCAGAGGCATCTTGGTCCCAAGGAGCTCTCCCTCCAGGGAGCACACACATCCCATTCCTTTCTCCCTCTCCTTCCCCCACAGGCACGAGTCCCCTAACCTCTAAAGGACCCTGTGAGACTTTCAACCAGGGGAGTAATGGTCCTAGTTTCACTGTCCTGTTTTTGCTGCAGTCAATAAATTCTTGCTTTCTTTTCTACGCTTGGTCTCTTGATTGAAATCTTTCCCTCAAGAAGACAAGAACCGAGGTCTCCTCATTGTCTCCCCCTCTCCAAGGTAACACTCTAACACACAAACAGCAAATATAGTTAATACTAAATCCCAGCTCTGCCACTTGTTATCATGTCACCTCATGAAAGTTACTCCACCTCTCTTAAGTCCCAATTTCCTCCTCTGTAAACTCGGGATGTCACAAACCTACCTCACAGGTATACTGGACGAATTAAATGAATATATACTTGTATCAAGCCAAAAAACCCTCACACACAGCAGCTTCTAATTTCCTTCTGCTTTGTACGTTAAGATAAAGAAATCAACAAATTACTAGGAACCACTCTCCTCCACTCCCCCCCTTCCCTTTTGGGCAATAACTTGTTTTCAAAAGAGCCTTTAACTACCCAGGGCAACTCCGCTTTCCTCCTATAAAAGCAGACTGTGCATTTTAAGGAGGAACAACTAAAGAACTCCAAGTTGAATTCTGATTTATGAATCTTATGCAACGAAGCTGTTCTTCATCCTACTCAATGGGAATAGTCCCCCCAAACCTGGGTGGTGTAGACTAAGAGAAGTCTGAATAATCTGTAGACTACAGGAAGTTGAAGACTTCTATAGCCAATGTAGTCATTGTAATTAACTCATGATGTTCCTTGTTCATTTACTACTTTTTTGGACAATACTATAAGATGTCAACACACTTCAAAGAATCTATAATCTAGAAATGCTATCCCAGATCTATATAGGGTTTCAAGAAGAGCAGAATAGTACAATGATTTCCATTTCCCCTCAAGAGATACCTGAGGGACTAAGAGGAAAACAACTCTTAGACTTCAGGTATATCAGTATGTGTTTTTGGAGTGGCAGGACAGTGAATAACTTTATTTCAACATCTAATACATACTAGTCACTGAGATAGGCACATTTTATATATCATCTTATTTAATCTTCAGCAGATACTATGATGCCCATTTTTCAAATGAATAAATGGTCCAAGAAATTACACATACAATAAATGGTAGAGTCACAATTCAAACAGAGACACAAAATCCTTTGCTTTCTTTCTCTCTAGAACACCCTGGCTTCTTGGCATTACCACAAGTTTATGAAGCTAATTTAATTGAAAGCAGTTATCTTATAATAAATTTGTTCTAACTCAAATTGACATAAAATTTTAATATCTAGATTGAAATGAAAATGGAAAGTACCCAAGAACCAAAACAAACACATCTGCTACAATGCAATAACAATGTAGTTGCTAAGATAATTAACTTTTTTAGATCTCCCAATATTCACCAAATCTGACCAAAGAAGGCAATGCCTTAGTATAGGCCACTTATAATCCTTAATATGAAAATGAGCTTTAATAAATAAAACTTTATTATGAACTTAAAATAAGCTGTAAGCCTTGAAATTCATATATTTTATTTAGTAGTGCTATGATAATTTAAACATAAAAGTTCAGTAAACTTTCTTCTCAGCTAGTGATTGGGTTATGTTTAAAACTGTTAAGATACCATTTGCTGCTCTTACTCTTAAGAAAATGCCATACCATAATTGTTAAAAAAAGAAATTGCTATATAAGTCATTAAATACTATTTCTGATACTAAAACTCTATGCCTTACAGTACTTTTAAATTCTTTCCCACCTACTACCTTGTTATCCACCAGGTCAATTCTGTGAGGAAGTTGGAAATGTATTATTTCTATTTTATAAATAAGGAACAAAAGCAAATTAAGACCAAGTTATTTGCCTAAACTCTCGAAGCTCATCCTTGTCAGAGCCAGGCCTGAAACCAAGTGCTCATTAGATCATGGCCCTTGGCGTCTCCTCTTTAATGATTTAGTTTAAAATTTAATAAAAGCAACAATTATACTTAAATGGGCTGAAGTGATGATTCTGTGATCTTTTCAAATAATCTAGGCACATTAATATATATGATGCTATGTTTGCAAAAAACTAGCTCCTTAGTGAATAAACGTGCCTAACTGTGAAATCAGCTCTTCCTACAGGAGGAAAAACACACTGTCTATTAACATCGGATTTTAACAGTTTTTAAGAGAGACAATACAAAACATGGACAGTGGTTTCTCTAAGACCTCAATATAAAACCAAAACTCAGTATTTTTTAAAAACCTTGAGTGGTTTCTCTCAAGCCAGAACCAACTTGTATGACACTTTCTGTCCCCTATTTGCCTCATTTGGCTACTCATTTGCCACAAATATCTACCCAATTGTCCACATGTATCACCTATGATCTTAACATATACAGACAAATACAAAATAATGGAAGTCCTTGGGATCAACTTTTAAATAAATCAGTTTGAAATTCATGTCTTATTTCTATGAGAGATAAGCTGGCATTACCTAGGATCACTGAGGCAAATATAACAATCACTTTTTTTAAAAAAAGAACCTAATCTCCTAGTGCATACTGACAGAAGCTAGTATACTGTGAACTCTACAAAATGTTCAACAACCTACTGAGGCCTTTTCAGGGATGCAGAGAATAAACTAAGATAGGGTGACCAACCATCTGGGTTTGGCTGATGAGGAAGCTCCTGGGACTCGGACTTGCAGTTTTAAAACCAGGATGAGTTGGACACCCTTAAATGAAAGACCAGAGAGCCAGTCTAGATACTTGATAGTATGCAGACAAAAACTAAATTTTTTTCTAACCACCATCCCCCAAAAGAATCACAAATTCAGTTCTATTTTTGCCTCATTCAAGCCAGAGTGAGCAAAGGTAAATGAACAGGATACACAGTAGTTAAAGAAGGGATGCGTACATTTTTACTGAGAATCTACTTTCAGGCATTAACTTGTGGAGGAACTTGTGAAGTGAAATTTTAAAAAATGAATTCACTTTCCCTACTGAAAAATTTCCAATGTTCACTTTTTATGCTATTTTTACAAAACTGAATATTTGAGTTGAAATAAAGCCAAGATGTCCCATTCTCTGGTTTGTGTCAACCAACATTAATGTTCATTTAGCATGGAAAAGAAAAGTCTATAACAACACCCTGAAGAGTAGCACATCGGGACCAAGGAAATAAGATATGTTTTAAAGGACAAGAGCTAATACTATCTTCCTTCCAATACCTCAAAACTAGTCAGTTTAGTATAAATCATTTATAAACACCAACCTGTAGGTCAGAGGAGTTTATCACACTTGATTAAATAATTTCAAGCCTAAATGCCCCAGCTATGTAGCACAGCCCTCTGAAGCCATAGCAATAAGATGACTCACCAACCGGCAGGTGTCTTAGGTTCTACGAATAATGGGTGTCTGCCTGGATGAGAACACATGTTTGTGCCCAGCAGATGACCCCATCCTGCTTGGCTAAGAGAGGAGAGAAGCTAAAAAACTGGTCAGTAGTACAGTACTTGTTTTATAATATAAAGTATCAGACTTTGCTCCAAAGAAGAGACTTACAATTCATGCAGACTAATAAAATGTCCTCTGTACATATTTTATATTCCAATGTTCACTTACTGAAAAGAACAACAGAATAAGATTTAAGAGGATAAAAATCAACTTTATGACCCCTAAATTAGAAATAACTGAAAGCGAGAATTATACTGAGTTAACTGCTTCAAGAAATCTGAAGTCAGAGTCACAAGAAAAATAAATCCATATTTAAACCCTCGTATGATATTTAATGACTTGATGTCAGTTTCCACTCAAGTGAAAATTAGTTCATATTTAAGTTCTAGTTCCCTGACAGATATCCTTATGTGAAAACTGACACCATGCCATAGTTAATAACATATGGGTTTACAAATATGGAGTTCAAAAGAAACTTACCCTTTCCCTTTGTGCAGCTCTGACTTCCAACCGTTTCTATAGAAACAGGAGGACAAGTGCCAGTGCCAGAAGTCTGCCAATTAGAACTCATCTTTTAGTTGCTGAATAATAAAGCCATATCCCAAAGTCGGCTATAGGTTTTTGATTGTCAGTAGTTCCTAAAAAGAAACCCAGGAGGAAAAAAAGACATTTAACCAATTACTACACTTAGAAATGCTTCCTCCTTTAAACTTTAAAGTACAGGAGGTAGATCCAATACCATATATATTTTTAAAAAATTGTATTAGGGCTTCAGACATCTCTAAACTTAGGGAGCAGCAAAAAAAAAGCAAAAGTGTCTTTAAAGGTTCAAAATACCTTTAAACCAATACATTAAGGAAAAAACACACTCATGTATCACAAAAGTAAAGTTATTTGCAACCACCAAACGTTAAAGTTCAGATGAATTCATTCCTTTTGTGGAATGAATTTTCAGTAAGATTATAACATTGCAGAGGGTAAACTTCACAAATGAAATTTCTCAGGAGAAATAAATAGGTAAGTCTCCACTAAAAACAAACCTCTCACAGAAATCTATAAATCACAAATAAACCCTAGAAAATTTTTCTAGAGATGCTGACAGCGCTGTACTTGAGGAAAAATCCCTCCAAAACACATGCATCAATTTTAAAAATTGAAAAACTGTGGGATGTGAAAATAGTCTGACTGCAGGTTTTCATTTGATACGGATTGCTTGGTGAATGTGTTTCAGAATCTTTTATCATAAATATGAACACAGCACTTGAGCATCAACCAACCTATGATACAAATCAGGGTTCGATTCCCGGTCAGGGCACATGCCCAGGTTGTAGGCTCCATCCCCAGTCAGGGGCATGTAGGAAGCAGCTGATCAATGACTCTCATCACTGATGTTTCTATCTCTCCCCCTCTCCCTTCCTCTCTCTAAAATCAATAAAGATATATTTTTTAAAATTAAATTAAAATGAACACATTAAAAATAGCACTCCTGTATATAAATTGATATGTTGCAATTTAGAGTATTCTCTGAACATTCATACTGGAGCATTCCATTAACATATATAAATCTTAAAGTTTATTATATTCTTTGTCACTGTGAACTTTAAGATGAATTAAATATAAATTAATTTTTTATTCATATTTCCATGTGAGGAAAATCAGTTTATTTATGAAGTTACTATATTAAAAAACAAAGGCCATTAAGAACCACTCCTCAATTCTGTCCATATCCATCCTCCCACTGAAAGCTCTAAACCTACCTCTGCCAAATTTTCTAAATTAGGGGACACCTATTATCAAATAGTGTCTCATATATCCTCATCTGTATCTATAAAAAGTAACATGTTCTATTTCACAATGAAAAGAGTAGACTAGAACACAAAAGGAAGGACAGAAAAAGACATAAGCATAACAAAATAATCAAGAACCAACCAAGTAGGACAGGCAATAGCAACCCCTCCCCCGTCTTGGTGGCAGAGACCTCTACCTAAGAACTCTTGTTCCTACTTTTCTTGTTGAAAATATTTTTCAAATGTTTTAAAGTAAATATCATTAACTAATGCACAAATCTGAGGATCTTATTCATAAGTGATTAGAGTCTAATCATCCACTTTTATCACACGGAATACTTATGTATCTACATCTTAAGCAGTGTCTCTCAAACTTGAGAGTACATACAAATCACCTGGGGATCTCGGTCCACTCAATAGGTCTGGGGTGAGACCCTGCAATTCTGTATTTCTAACAAACTTCCAAGTGATGCTAATGCTGCTGATCTGAGAACCACACTTGCAAACACAAGGATTCTAGAAGACTAAGCAATATACCTGCTGTACTGAACCTGAATACTACTCTGAAAGTTTTGGTTTTCATTTTCAGTCCTTAAGTGGGTGATGGTGTGTCTGTTTGTATGTTTAAGATTTGTCTCTGGAGCAGTGGTTTTCAACCCTGGCTACAGAGTAGTCACCTGGGGCACTGAAAATAAAACAAAAACAATGCTGGGAACTTGGAAGAGTCCCACTTGACCTAGATCAATTTAAATGAAGCTCTGAGTAACTGTCCCAGCTATTGATATTAAAAAGTTCCTTAGGTGATTCTAATGTGGAGCCAGGTTTAAGACCTCTGCTATAGAATGCAGAAAAGTTCTAATTAAGGTGTCTAGTTTACTGAACTGTTTCTGTATAGAAAGAATACACTCACACTAGATGCTTATCTTGGGAGCAAGGTAAAACTACTGCCAATTTCTATATGCTGAAATACAAATTTTATGGAACACCAATTTTCCCAAGATGCCTTAAAATATGCAATAAAAATATATATGTATGTAGCACCTCAAAGTGTTAATTTTGCCTGTGATGAAAGTTCTACTCTGGACAAAGATGTATTAACATGCTCATGCATAAAATTTTTTCATTAAGTTCTTTTCCTAGGTAAAAGGAAATCTGTTGGTCACGTTGGAAAGGTCAGATACCAATTCAGCAATTAAAAACTGCATAAAGAGCCCTAGCTGGTTTGGTTCAGTGGCTAGAGCATTGGCCTGCAGATTGAAGGGTCTCAGGTTCAATTCGGCCAAGGGCACGTGCCTCAGTCACAGACTAAATTCCTGGCCCTGGTCAGGGCGCATGCAGGAGGCAACCAAGAGATGTGTCTCTCTCACATAGATGTTTCTCTCTCTCTCTCTCTCCCCCTTCTACTCTCTCTGAAAAGCAATGGGAAAACTATCCTCAAGTGAGGATTAAAAAAAATAAATTGCATTAACACATATATGTGGTTTGCATAGGATGACAGCCATTCTACAGAAAGACCCTCTAAACTGCCTTTTAGTAAGGAAGTTTGGTTTGATACCACTAGAGAAATTGCAAGTTATAAACTACAGAAAGCATGGTCAGTGTGTTATAGCAGAAACTAATTTATACAATGACTTCAGTGGAAACTGTCATGTCTGTGATAAAAGCAGAGAGAATAAGAAATAACATGGTGACAAAATGAGGTGCTAGGGGGAAGATGGCTTTGAAACCTCGAGGTGGCCAACAATTATGAGCCTGAAGAAGTAAAATCTCTATTATGGTATTTAAATATGGAACACTGCTGATCTCTGCAGAACAATCTTCCAGAGAATCTGAATGCTAATTTATCTTTGAAGGAAAAATTATCTTTGACTTGTAAGTGGTTGAAAGAGTTCCTATTTTGAATTATCTATACTGATTTATCTTCAATTAGTGTAGCTAATTCTTCAAATATTTGGGTACCTATTATATAACAGGCATTACTCTAGACCTTGGGAATAATTGGAGGACATTTGAAGGAAATTTGTGTTACTTTCCTGAGACATGTAGTCAAATCACATCACTTTCCTGGCTTAAAACCTCTAATGGCTTTCCATTTCATTCAGCACTTAGAATACAATCCAAACCCTTTGTCCTTGGCAATAAGGCCCTAACGTACAGTTTACTACCTCCCTTCTTCCATCAGAATGTAAGCTCCATACGAAAAGAGAAACTTGTCTGTTTTCTTCAATATACTCCAAGATCTAGAATAATGCCTGCTATATAACAGGTTACCTAAATATTTGAAAAATGAACTATATTAATTAAAGACAAATCAGTATAGATAATTCAAAATAGGAAATCTTTCAACCATTTACAAGTCAAAGATACAGTCAACTTTACCTATAATTCCATTGTCTCCATCCTATTGGTAATCTAGTTAGAAGGTAGTAGATAGGTGATGTTCATTCATAAAAAACAACTCATGTGTACACACACATGCAATCCTAGAATCACCTTCCATTTTAAGTTATACCATAGTCACATTATTGTTAGTCACATCCAAAAACTCAAGGATATCTCAATCGGTTCCTGGCTGTGTATCCCTTAGCCAAGTCACAAAATATTTCTGGTATCCCTTTAGCACTCCACAAACTGAATAGTGCCCTTCACAGACTGCTATAACGCAAAATTAAATACTCAGCAAGACTGAATTCCTTCGAGAAATAATTACATGACTATAAAACTGTTATTTAAGTGACACTTTCAGTGGTAAATTCCATGGCATTTGTAGTTTCATTCTGTTCATCTCTGCAACAGCTTTGAATTCATCTTCTGGAAGCGCCTCCTCTCAGCTTCAGAGACAGAACACTATTCTGGCTCTCCTCCCAGGGCCTCTCTTCCATGTCTTAAATATGACATTACCCCAAGTACATACCTCAGCACTCTACTCTGTGGGCTAGTGTTGCTCAACAAGTGACCACTGACCATAGATTACATCAGAATTTACCTGGGAAGCTTGTAAAAGAACAGACTCCTGGGCCATGCTGGCCCTAACAAATCCCAGAATGTCCAGCTTTGGAGGCAAGGACCTGTATGTTTCCCAAGAACTACGAATGTTGACACACTCTAGTTTGAAATCCACTGCCTATATTCTCAAATTTGCTGCTTTAATCCCATCCCAGCCTCCAGAAAGAGTAGTGAAGTGTGACAGACAGTACAGTGACAACGAAGGCCTGGTTAGATCCCTGTCTCTATCGCTTACTAGCCGTCAGATTATGGTCCTTGGTGAGACATGAGCCAAAGTGTACAGAACTCGGCAGAATGTTGGCCTGAAGGGGATATTTAATAAATGATTGCTATCACTAGTACTGTTGCTTTTTATCAACATGTCTCAACTAGCTATGCATCCTCACTCCCCGCCCTCCTCAAACTGGCTTGCCCTCAGGATTCCGTTTTTGCTGTCCCAACCATTTTACTTGTTTTCCAAACTTCAGCCTGCATCTTTTCCATCAATCAACATGCTGCTAGATAACGTTATTCATGCCTGTCTGCCTGACATCTCAACCTCAACCTCCCTCCCCCATTCTACATCCTTCGCCAACTAACACGTTCTTTTGTAAAGCCTTTCCTGACCATCCTAGCTTAAAGTAACCTGTTCATATACTCATTCATGTACCCATGTCACCTGTACAAATTCATTAGCAAATCAACTCAAATATCATGACATCTCTTATAGTTGTCTTAAACTGAACTTTTCCCCTGATATTTAACTGTCTACCTGTTTATATCTAGTTTCCCCAATTAGACTATAAGTTGCTGACTGAAGTAGACACTATCAGATACTTTCTTCTATATGCTCAGCACCTTAGTTCTTAAATATAAGACCAACATTCAGATGATTACATGGAAACCCTACCTGAAAGCTTAATATTACAGCATTCCGGTAGAAGCATGTTAAGTGACTTTACTTCAAGGTCAAAAATCTCTTCTTGAGATTGTTACTAAGAACAATCTTGCCTGAGGTCTGAAGGAATTATGTTATTCAATAAATTCCTCTGCTAACAATTTAAAACTAGGTTATAATTCAAGTAAAAGGACCTTTTAACCAGGGAAGCTTAAAGAGAGTAAGCTGGGAGATAAAGGTGGTACTCAGACAAGCCATAGTGCGATATTCTATTGGAAAAAAAACACACAAAACAGATGCTATATGAGTCATTAGCACTGAATTTACTGCCTCAGATAAACAACTTGGAAATAACATGACTTAAGCTACATAAGCAGCAATTTATAGACTCAAGGTTGTTTTACTGAAGTCAGGGTAATCCTTATTTTCAATTTTAACACTCATAGCCAGGCTTTCCAAAATGAGACAAATTAATTCAGGTGTTCATGGAAGTTATTTCCTTTAGAGTAGAACCCTAACTTTAGAACATATGAAATACACTGGGAAACCACACAAATATTTCAAAAGGGCAGTTTCCAATTTATAAAATCAGAATTCTAGATGTAACTGTGAACCCAATTAATTTTTCCTTCCCGGTGTAGCTGGAAATAAAATTTGAGTAGTTTCAAAATTGTCATGCTGTGTACCTTTCCATTTTGCATACAGTTTCATATACAAATAAACAAATGCCCTGGAGCAACATTTCTTTTGTTCCTGAGAGGAAGCCTGAGATCTCAGAAAGATACTAAATATGTAGAAAATATGTAGTGTAACATAATCTTCCTCAAATCACTATATTGATTTAAAATACCTGTTTAATAACTGGAAAATTACTTAATGGGCTTTCAGTGTGAACTAGCCAGAGAAAGAAGATACATTGGAAAGTGACATTCCCAACAGGTATAAAACTTTAGACAGGTAGGTAAGAAATCATTTAGCAAAGCCTCAGATGGCAGCCAACTCATAAGCAGATTTTTAAAAATTCTTGTAAAGGACACACCGAAAACCTGAAAAACCCCCACTGTACTTCACTTTTCCCCTTTGGAAAGAAACAAAAATTTCATGAAAAAGAAAAATTCTACTCAAAAATTTCAATCCCACTTAAAATAAAGCAAGAAACCCTAAATTGTATTATACATTAAAAAATGTTGCTTCTGTTAAGTTGCCAAAACCTCACACTTGATTAATGTTGGGGGAGGAGCTGGAAAGGCCCAGAAGACTGGTAGGACTAAACGGACCACGAAAATGATGGTTAATAGCACTGTCGACATTGTCTACTCACTCCCCTAGAGTTGGAGCAGCCTAACTTTATGATTAATCTCTTTGTAGGACAAGGGAAAAAAAACAAAAAACTAACTATTTTGGCTAAATTATCTATCATTCCTAGTCTGATGGTTTTTGTTTGTGTTTTTTTTTTTTTTGCTACATACTATAATTTTGTTAACTTGGAGGTTTATAGTAGGAAATTTGTCCAGCACCAGTAAATCCCCACTAAGGGTGAAGGTCATGGCTAATGGAAAATGTCAAAATTTTAAAGGACATCAGGGCTGTAGGCCCCAAATCCATAGCCAAGATTTCAACACTAAAAGGATTTTTTTAAAAAAAAACAAAAATACCAGTAGAACAAAAGTTGTGGCCTGGAATTTTACAAATACAACACTTTGGTGAAAGGGAGGTAGTGAGTACCAGCAGCAGAGCGCCTGAAGTCTTCCAGAAAAACATACCCCCAACATTAAAATCCCTCACCCTATTCATTATAATGCATTTTTGACCTCTAAAAACCCTCTTACCTGTTTACAAGTTTATACAGCTGTTTGCCACTGGAACACCACCTTGCAGAGTATAAGCGTGGCATCCTTTGTTGGTAATCACCTGTTGCCTAAGTAATCATCATCCCGCATGGAGACAGACAGCACTAGGGCTCTTCCATCCGAGGTTAAAATTCAAAACAAGCCCAACAAGCCTGCATTTCAAGGTGGTCTTCGTCTGCAACTAGTTAAGTTTACAACTGGCAAACAGCAATGGTGTCTGAAGCCACTGGTGCAGCATTGCTGGCTTCCTCTTGAACTCCAGCGTTGTCACTGTGCACCGAAGTCTCCTGCTGCAAACAGGGGAGTTGTTCTCCTGTACTGGGAACAGCTTCCAAAGCTCAGGACCCCTGTGCAGGATAATGCAGGAACTAAAGGCAAACACTTTTTTCCTCCTTAAGGATGCCTCCATTTTTTCCTCACAATCTGTACTACCAACCGAGGTGACTGGGCCTGAGTGTGCGTTCGTACCTACGAAACCGTCACGGTGCATGCACATCCAAGGCATGTGGAACCACAGGTCAAATAAGGCACAGATACCAAGTGACGGTTCTAATTACAAACGCTAGCTCTCAGGAACTCTTCATCCATTCAGAACTAAACCCATCACTGCATACCTCTGGTGAGAAGCCCCAGGAGACGGAGGAGCTCCTCAACTGTGTCAGGAAAGGCTTTATTAACATCATCATTAACATTTAAAAAGCAAACGGAGCATTCGCCTTCTTTTGGCAATTTGGTGCAAATGTTAAGTGCAAGATAAAGCAATTGCAAACTTTTCTTCAAATTAAAAATGAAACTAAGGCCAAACGTGACGGGTGAACAAAATAAAGCAAAACTTAAATTTCAGCAACTCCGGCTCTTCAAACCAGCAAAGCCCCCGACTCGTGCACTGTGGTGAGGCTTACGGTGCTTGCCCCGGCTTCTTGTGTGCCAGCCAACAGCACCATTTCCTCATCAAGTTGAGGACAGAGAAGCAAATGATCCCCTTCACTGCAAACAAAGGGGGTCACAGTAACACTAGTGATCCTTCAGAATTGACACACCGCGATAAGTCAAAATGATGGTCTCCCTGCTTCTTGCTCAAGACATACAAGATCTGAGCAGCAGTAAGTAACGCCTCAGCTGCAAACAAAGGGGTCAAAGGTTTGCCGTCAATTCACTTCCAGGCAGAAAAACATTTTCCTCAAAAGAAACAATTTATTTAGAATAAAACAAAAGCAGCTCAACTGTGAGCGCACGTTTGAGTGACAGCTACTTTTAAGCTGTGTGAGCCATAAAAAGGGTTTTTCTTTACTTTTCCAGAAATCTTGTGTACACAGCACAAAGCAAGAGGTCATTTTTTTCCACTTAAAACACCGGCATTGGCATCACAATAGCAGATACACAACTTTAAGCTGCCATTTTAGTAAAATGCACAAATACTAAACAGATTAGCTTTCTTCCATCAAGAGGCCCATGTAAACTCCACATAAGCCACAACTTCTCTTCGAAAAGGTCCATTAGAGCTTTGATTTCCGTATCTTCATCCACTGTTCACCAGCTTTGCTTGCAGGAGGGAAAAAAAGGTTATTCAGTAAAAATGTTTACAATATTAAAAATATATATATTTTCCCTATGCCATCATAGATGAACATAACATTAACAAGACCTTCCTGGATAGTCCACCTTGACCTCAAAAAGCACCAATAATACCCATTGGCACAAACCTTGAAATGAATTTACTGTATGAAAAGACAAATAACAAGTAGAATAGGGTGGATTTTTTTAAAAGACTGCAATTAAGTGAAGATTATAGGACTGAAAATATCCTTTATACTCATGTAACTGAGTAAAACATTGGAAAAAATGCAGAAGACAGCAAGTTTATAATCAACCTATAATCAATATATTCTACATATAACTTAAAAAAATGAAACTGTAAAAAGGTTAAGTTTAGTCAAACTTTTACCCCCTCTATTTTCATCCTATAATTCATATGGAGCAATACAGAACTGCTCCATTATAGAAAGGGGTCAAAATACAAAGCCATTTAAAAATCCACCTTCATCTGTGTTACCAAAGACAGCAGCTGTTATTTTAAGAAAACACTCATACAAACCACTGCTAAACAGCCAAAGAACACTTTTGGACTTTTACTTTGCAGTGCTGTTTAAATCACACATATAAAACTTTTCATTAAGCTGGACAGTTCACTGTGGTTACCTGAAATCATTTTCTCCCCTTAGGGATATGACTATAACCAGAATGTTAACATTAAGGGTCACATCCACTTCTCTGATTGTTCTAATACCTAACTCCTATCTATCTCAAAACCATGCACTATGGCAGAGACAGAAAAAAAAGTCCAGAAATTCTCTCCAAAAGTTTTTTTCACATGAAAAGTCATAAAGGCCCTCTTCTCAAGAGGATGTCCTAATTCTGTTACCACAGAGTTTTTGGTGAATGGTTCCTATATGGACCCAAACTGCAATTCAAACTATACCTACAATAATGAGCAATTTCACTAAAAACAGTGGATTTAAAATTTTTTTAAAAAGCTAATGTCAGTGAAAACCCGCTCATAAAAGTTTGAAAATAAACCTAAACAGTGTTTGACTCTGAAAGCAACAAACACACACCTTACTTTTACTACTGTACCTCAAATGATCCAGTTAAGAAGGGCCAGAATATATTACCTTCAAAATGTGACAAAAGCTTATACCAGCCAGAGTATGGATATTTTAAGATGTAATCCTTAAAGGGAAGTCTCTCTATGCTAAGAGTCAAAGTATACATCTTAAACCAGGAATTTAAACTTCTGTGTCGAAAACTCTAAGAATCCCAGTTACAACCAACAAAATAATATTTAAAAATTGGCTAGGAGCTGAAGGCTTGCTTAATTTTCCATAAGCTTTGAAGTAGTGATCCAAAAGTCTTAATTAGTGTGATGTTTTTCACCAGTAATACTTAATAAGTCATTAAATGATACATTAAAGAAATTTTCTTTCCATTCATTTGAACCGAGTTCCAGAAACAGCAACTAAACAAGTATTTTTTTTAAGCATAAGAAAAAGAAAAAAATTGGTTGTTACAAAGAACATCCAATGCTGAGATTATGAAATTCTGACTAATCAGCATCAGAACCAGACAGTTTTAGACTTTTGCTTTCATTCCATTCTGAAGGTTTAAGTCAACAGTTCACCAATATTATAAAACTGCACAACTGAATGGGCATCACAAATAAGAGATTCATCTGAATGATGGCACTCTGTAGGTAAGCACCATACTAAACATAATTAGTTATTTATAATACATACGTTTAGAAATGGTATTAAGCCATTATTTCTAAAACATTGAAGCACAAATTTCCCAGATCTAACAAAGCTGCAATGTCAAGTAATGACTCAAACAAACATGGAGCAAGAACCAATTAAAAAAAGTAAAATAAAAAAGGGAAAAAACCACACACACTTTGGATTATTAGATGTCATGGACTTCACTCTCTTAAAAGAGCAAAATTATTTGCCCAGCCATCTTATCAAAAGATATTCAAAAGTTAATGGTTAGTGAGATTTAAACTGGAAAAATGTATCTAGCCAAACTGTACTTTGACCCCATGTATGCAGACTGCACAACTGCATTAGTTTCTGAACAGGTATCTACGCCATATTACCATGCCAAGCTCGGCATTTTAAAAGCAAAAAGCACCCATAGCCTTAACTGTAGAACGTTAGGTATTTTCCCTAGAGGCTAACCAAAGGCCTTTGTGCTCCTAGCCTAGCACTTTCCTTCTCTCAAAATGACTAGTTTTTCCAGTTTAAAAACACAAAAACCTCTAAATCTAAAACAATTTATGAATGCATAATAGAAAAAAAAAGACACAGCAGTGATGAGGCTTTCATGCTGACATGCATTAGACACCTGTCATAATGGAAAATAAAAATTTACATGACATTTCCCTGGGTTATTATTGGTGCTATTTTAAACTACCAGCTTTGATAACAGAAAGAAAACAGTTGGGTTCAGCCAGGCTTTCAATAAGTCACTTTCACAGAATAGAAACATGACCATGATCCAAAAGGTCCTAAAGTTTCTAATCATAATTAAATATCAAGGGCCTTAGCTAAAGTCCTCAGTATTTAAATTGGGGGAGTAGGGGGGCACGGGAATATACTAATGACCTGAGAAACCAGGAGTTGGGGCTAAAGGATAGATGGGGGGAAAAAAGACAAAAAAAATCATCCATTACTGTTAAGAACCAGAAGTCGATATAATCTTCAGCTCTGAAAAAAACCATGAGGGTGGGTTATTTTGAATTAATTCCAGATGTCTGGGAAAATAAAACAATAAAAAAGAGTTTTCCTACACTGACATTTCAATTCTCTGTAGATGGACACCAGTGAAAATACTAAACACAAGATTTCAAAGATATTCAAAACATTTTCAACAATGTAATGTCATCACTGCTGCTTAAATATGAAAATAAAAATACAAGCAAAATTTTAAGAGTATGTCAAAGGCATTTCACGATGACTTGAAAAAACTCTGCAATCTATATATGGCCGATTAATGCCCACAGAAACAAAAGATGACTTATGAGCCTGCAGACAACTCTTCTTTCTATTATTGAAATCAGGAATTTGAATGAATACAAAAACAAAAACTCATCTTTGATGAAAAACACTTAAGTTTTGAAATATGCACAATTAGAACTGTACCTGCTACACCTCTCTAAAAAAGTCAGTAAAAACAACCCACACACCAATAACTGACCAAAGAATTCTGATTTTAAAAGCACCTACTCACTTGCATAAGACATGGTTTGTAACATACCCCTCAATTTTTACTGAACAGTTACAGCTACAAACCAAAAGTGCATATAGGGGATACAGAACTCAAGAATGATAAAAATGAGTATGTTAAAGCAAACTCTCTGGGAATAAACCGTGTATTTTAAGAGAAATACTCAAATACCTGATTAAAATAATTACATTACTATACAATTTACCAGCTTATACTTTTGAGGTCCCTGATCAAATTTTTCACACAAATAACATTCCTGGTACAGAAATTATTTACGTACATACCAATCAAGCCATTTTTAGGTGTTATTACCATCTTTATATAGTCAATGGGCACTTTCCTCCAAATTTTGACCTTTTAAATTTTTGGTTTTGTAACTTTGAGGATTTTTTTTAAGCTTAAGGTTAAAAAAGAAAAAAATCAAAGAGGAGGAAAAAAGTTACTCATAAGAGTGGGAACTGCTAATTAAAGTAAATCCATCTGCCTGCTACCTTCAGGGCATCCCTTTCACTTAGTAACTAAACTGTCCTTATGTCCATTTCAAAGAGATTTATAAAAATATAAAAAGAAAAAAGCTACAGCTAAACAACTAATTAAAAAGAAAATTTCACCTAATGCTGTATCCCATCATACATCACAAAACAGGAACCATGTCAGAGTAGTAAATACAAGTTACACATGGACTTTAGGACGCACCACGGACAATGATCATGACCAGGTAATCTTCTTCAGATTTGGCCAGTGCCTTGGCAGGAGAATCCAGGAACTGCTGGGAGAACTCACAGGGTGGGAAGGCGTGAAGGACCCCGGTGTTCTCCTTGTCTTTGTTGCCCCCCACAGGAAGGCTGATCACCCCAGCGGCCTGCTTTTGCTTTAAATAGGACACCAGGTTCCTAAGTGGCCTCTGAGTAGAGGTGGCAGTGTCTGATGTGGCCGAGGAAGAGGATCTGCTGTCAGAACTTCCAGGCACAGCCAGAAGAATGGCATAGCCATTGGGCCCTGCCACCTTGATGCGACGAGTTACTTCATCCAACTTGGGCTGGTCCAAACGGAGACGCTGAGTGATCTTGAGCTGGGCTACTTTGCCTCCACTGGAGCCCTCCACAAGAAGACTACTAGCCACTTGGAGGTCACCCTGCAACAGATGCATGTTGGAAGGAAAGTTGCTGTTCTTCAACAGGAGCATGCCCTGCCAGGCCAAACAGAGCTTGGGAGAGGCTGCTGCAGCAGGGGCTGTCCCGCCATCCTGTTTCTGGGAAGGGGGCTTCAGCTTCGAGGAAGCAGTGCTGGTGCTGGCTGCACTCCCGTCAGACCGGTCTTCTTTTTTCAGAGGGCTTTTTCCCTCAGTGGAAGCAGCTGTCCGATGTTTCCTATCGCGTTCAAGTGACACAGAGTTTTTGCGGTCTCGCTTGTCACCCTGGCTTTTCTCCAAACTACCTCGTCTGTCTTTGATTGGAGAAGGCCTTTCCAAGAGAAGAAGACGGGAAGATCGGTCATTGTCACTGTTGTAGCGGTCCCGGCTACTGCTCAAGTCTGGACTGCGGTCAGGAGAAGGAGCACAGTGACGTTTCCGTGGACGGTCACTCTCAGGGGACCTATCCAGGTGCCGTCCCCCACTGTCCTCTGGCAGTCTTCGCTTTCTAGGCTGGTCTCTGCTGCTGGGCAGATCTCGATCACCTCTGTCCCGATCCAAGGACCAGCCATCCCGCCTGCGATCCAGGCTGTCCAGTGGCTCATAAGCAGGCACAGAAGTAGGGGCAGTCCGAGTGCTGCGTTCGCGGACTGGGGGTGGGGGTGGCACCCAATCAGAGTCAGTATAAAGGTCCCTATCACGGTCTCTGTATAGTAAGGGTGGTGTCCTATCCCGCCCACCCCTCAAAGGGTCAGGTGCCCGATGTCCAAAAGTATCTGTCACCAGGTCATAATGAGTTAAGGGCAGAGGCTGCAGATACTGCTGCTGGTACCGATGTTCTGTGTCTGCAAAGTCCACTCTAAGGCGACGATCTGGGCCACCAAGTGGAAAGCCCCGCATATGGGTCCAGGCAGCATGAGCTGCATCTAGGCTTTCATACTGGATATATGCCCAACTATCACCTTTGCGGTAGTCTATGGTGCGGATGGTGCCAAATCGGTCAAATTCTCGTGCCAGGGCAGCAAGAGGCACCCAAGGTCCCAGGCCACCGACCCAGAGGCGGGTGGTGGGTGTAGCTTTACCATAACCAATTTTGATAGGATTTCGAATTATAATCTTGCCAGACATTGCTAGTTTGGCCCGGTGAGACATATCCAGGTTCTCAAATTTGAGAAAGCCATAGGTACTGGTCTGGCCCCGAGAAGGCCTCTTGATGTCTACTTCTGTAATGACTCCAAAGCGATCAAAAGCCCTTCTCAGATCACTCTCTGTCACAGTGATGTCTAGGTTGCCCAAGAAAAGCGTCCTGTTAGCTCGCTGATCATCCTCCGGTGAGATCTCATCCACTTCTCTGAAAGCGGCAGCACCTGCTCCAGCTCCCACCCTTGGCTCAAGATTGTAGGCTGGGCGCACTCGCTCATAGAACGGGTAGTCTCGCTCTCTCTCCAGGTCCCGGGGCAATGGTGGCGGAGGGGGAGGGGGCAGGCGGCCAAGAGCCAACTGCTGCAAACGGTAGTCTCTGTATCCCAAGGCCGCCCCACCAGGGGAAAGCGATCTCTGGCCTCCACCACCTCCTCCCGGAGGGTGCCGGTGACCTCCTACGGAGGCCCCGACCACGCTGGATGACGGAGGGTAAGTATCTTTGTCTAAAGGGGAGCGGCTGCGGCGCCGGCTCACGTACACGGCTTCTATCTTCAGGGGCCGGTCGTAGAGCACCAGGCGGCCTCTGGCATGCTTGGCCGCCCGCGCGTCCTCTGACCGCCGGAAGTTCACAAAGGCTACGCGCTCATCCCCGCCGCCAGAACCCGAGAGATGGCTGATTTTGACACTTACATCACCGAAGCGTTTGAACTCGTGGAACAGTCCGTCCTCCACCGCTTCGTCACTCAGCTGGGACCCCAACTCGCTGATCTTCAGCGTCTTGTACTCCCCGCCGTCAGGCGCTGAGGAGGCGGCCCCAGAGGAACGTGACTCCCCGCCTCCACCTCGGGAGCTGCTGCGCGACTCGCCCCCGCCAGAGGAATTTTTAGCGCTTGGGGAACTGTAACTATGCAAGCGGCTACTGGAACTGCCCCCGCCAGTGTCATACTCGCGGCTGCCACCTCGGCTGCTGGACTTGTCGAGGTGGAGGCTGCGCCGCGACCCGCCGCCGCTGTCGGTCTTTCCGCTGCTGCTCCCATTGCTGCCGCCAGAGCCCCCTAACTTCTTGCTCCGCTCCCCGCGAGAAGTCGAATCCTCACCACCACGGGAGCGCTTGGACTTGACTGGAGAGCGCTCTTTTCCCTTCATTGTTGCGGGTCGCCGGAGGTCGTCTCCGCGGAGCCGATTAACCCGCCGCTCCGCGCTGGTTTCACACAGCGGAACCGCATGCCGCCATCTTGGACTTCGCCGCTGCACAGGGTCCCGCCCCGCAGTCTCCATTGGCCAAGTAGCTCCTCTCGTCTACAGTATCATTGGGAAAACTACTTGTCTGTCTTTACATCTCCCCGCGCTCCGGGCAGGCGCCCGCCCGACCACTGTTATTGGGTTTCCAACGCCTCAGTCGGAGTACCTCATTGGTTACATTCGTTGTCCATCTTAACGGTTCCTCGCGCCAGACGGTAGCTCCGCCCCTCGCACTCTGTGGTCACCTGAGCCAAAGTCTGGAGGCGTTGATTGGACCGAAAGTGTGCCCTGTAACGGTACTTCGTGGTCACTGAAAGCGATGGTCCCACCTCCTCACCCCTTTTATTGGTTTTCGACCCCGTCCTTTAACCCACTATTTGGGAGGTCGGGCCAGCTCCTCTGGCCCCTCACAGCGGTCTCGCGCGCGCGAGACCCCCTTTTTCCAACTCCTCCGGCGGCTGAGAGAAGTTTAAATCTGATTGGGTGGTGCTGGGGAAGTTGATAGGCTGGAATAACTGTCCATCACTCGCTTAAAGGGGTAGCTCTCGTACTGAGGGAGTGGACTGAAGGTGAAAGAGCGGAACACGCGATTGCTGTGCGACGTCACTTAGCCGTCGCGAGATGGTGACCAGGCCGCGCCCCGCCTCTCCGCGCGCTCGGCGTCCCGCCCGCAGACATTTGTTCTGTCAGGCAGCGTGGCGTGCTGTGCTTCGGCCGTGGGAGAGCGAAACTTCTGTCCCCTCACCCCCTCCGGCGGCCGGCCCCGCACATCCTGCTGGAGGCCGTTCTGCGGGTGCCCGGCGGACACCATCTTAGTCCCTCTGGCCGATGCGTGAACAGCCAGAAAGAGCCCCACGCCACGCACGAGAGAACGACGCCCGCGGCCCCGGGAGTCCGCGGGGCAGGCCGGCCTGGAGTTCACGGTTCGCGAGCCCCGGGTCACGTTAACGCCCCGGCCGGGCGGGGCGCAGCCGCGCCCCCAGTTCCCGCCCGAGTGCCGGGGTAACCGAGGGGAGTGACGGACGCGCAGCTCGCCGTCGGCGGGCGTGTCTGTAGCTAACGGGCTCACGTGGATTGGGGGTTTGTAGTCGCCGTGATGGAGCTATTTGTTTTTTATAGATGCTCCTCCCCGCCCAACCATCGAGTGAAATGTGCACTCCGTGCAGATGCGTGGCGTGTCTCTTCTGTGGCTTCTTGCACCCCCACCCCCGGGCTATCACAGAGTAGAAGCCTGTGGCACAGTCACCTTGCGGTCTCTAAATCCACGTCTTTGGGCTGCCTCAGTCATTATGAGCCTCAAAACCCAACTTGCATGCTTTCCGGAGCCCTTAACAGTGTTAGAGGACAGAACACCTGTGCGAAGTGTTTGGCGATAACCGAGATCAAAACGTGGGGGCCGAGCAGGAGGCAGCCCATCAATGCACCTCTCTCATCGATGTTTCTCTCTCTCCCTTTCCCTTCCTCTCTAAAAATCAATAAAAACTTTTTTTTTTTTTTTTAAGTGTGTTGAGGAAAAGCTGCCATCACCCGTTTTGGGGTCAGTGTTGGCCCCTTGGAGCAGCTCAGAGGCCCTAGAGGACAGCCCAGGGGGAGACCGGCCACAACTAGCTTTCTATATGAAGTGCTTTCTCTACCCCCTTTAAGTATTTTGAATTTAAAAGGAAAAAGCAAAAACAAAAGCTATGCACATGGGAGAAAACTAAAAGGATGTATCAGTAAGTTTTCCTAGGTTTTACTGTTTGTGGATCCTCAATACACACACAATTATAATTGCAATAGCAAAAGTATCTTGGGAGCTGAGAGCTATTCAATTTCCTGGTAGATACAAAAAGGCCTAAAGCTGGGAATTGAAAAAATTTTCCCACCCATAACAGTGCATTAAAATGTTCTATTCCTTCATTGAATGAATGGTCTCCTGACAGTGAGGTTTGTTTGTTTGGTCTGCAAAAAATAAATTAAAAATGTGTATTTTACTCACAGGCATAAAATAAATCCCTAAAATAGCCAACCATCCTTTAGGACACAGTTTGCATTGTAAAGTCGCTTATTTGTGGTTTGTGGAGTCTTTTTAACAGCCTTATTAATATGTAATTTACATACCATAAAGTTCACCCAGTTAAAGTGTACAATCCAGTGGTTTCTAGTATGTACTTCAGAGCTATGCATTCGGTCCATCCTTGAGTATTATTACAGAAAGCACCCTGCTGTAACTTCTCTGAGGTGACTAAGACCTAATTATCTCTTTCATTTATCCAGCCTTCTTAAAGGGCAGTGGTTAAGAGCATGGACTCAAACCAGCCAGCCTAGATTAAAATCGCAGCTTCTGCTGTTAATCGCTCTGGGCCATGGTTTTCTTGTCTATAAAATGGGAATAACCATAGAATCTCTTCACTGGGAGGATTAAATGAGATAAAACATACACAGAGCTTAGAATAGAGTCTGGCACATGGTAAACATTATGTAAATGTTTGCTATTACTAACATATTTTCTCTTTGCACCTGAGTACATAGAATTGGCTTAATCATAATTCTTAGTTCATGACACACAATCTCCATAGTTCATCCATGGACCTTTAAACTTTCATTTATTTATCAAGAACGTAGTGAATATCTACAAACCTGCCACACAATCCAAGAAATAGAAAGTTATTGATAATATTCATCTACCTAGATCCTCCTCCCTTATCCACTTCGTACCCCATAGGTAGCTACCATCCTGAGTCTGGTATTTAGAAATTCCTTGTTTTGCTTTAAGAACTTTAAAGAACATAGTGGTGCCTCGGTTTTCAAACGTCTCCGTGGACGAACATTTCGGTTTATGAACGCCATAGACCGGGGAGTAAATGCTTTGGTTTTGGAACACGCCTCCGAAGTTGAACATGCCCCGCGGCTTCCGCTGAGGGCAAGATCCTGAGGCCCGGCTGTCAGCTGTTGACCCCTCGGTTTTTGAACATTTCAGAACTCGAACGGTCTTCCGGAACGGATTACATTAGAAAACCGAGGTACCGCTGTCTTTTAAAGGAATTTGAAAGAATTTATGTATGTGTGTGTGCTTGGGTCTGTGTTCGTATGTGAATGTGCATGTGTGTATGCACATGCATACCCACACACCTTAAAAGTATTATTTTAGCCCACCCGGCCAGGCGTGGCTCAGCAGTTGAGCACCGACCTAGGCCCCAGAAGAGCACGGTCTGATTCCAGGTCAGGGCACATGCCTGGGTTGCGAGCTCAATCCCTGGTAGGGGGCGTGCAAGAGGCAGCCAATTGATGACTCTCTCTTATCATTGACGTTTCTATCTCTCTCTTCCTCTCCCTTCCTCTCTTTGAAATCAATAAAGTATATATATTTAAATTTATCTTTATTGTTAAAAGAATTACAGATATCCCCCTTTTTCCCCCTTGATCC